CTCTTAACCAACTGAACCACTCGGCTGGCCCCGTTACCCTATTCTTTAGAGGATAATTGTGTGGCAGCACTCTGAAGACTGTCAGCATATCTCCTTCCTGTGTCTTTGGCGTTGATGAATATTAGTGTTACTTTTAAATGTAGTGATGGAATTTTAGTTGGACAGTAGAAAGTTTTTGTTTGTTTGTTTGTTTTTTAAGTAAATTCTGACTTCATCAGCAAATGTCAATTTCTCCACGTTAGTTTTTCTACCCACAAAAATTTTCGTTTCCCTGGTTTCATTTGAGCAATTGGGGAGTCTGAAGACCTGGAAAGATTTTTCACTGCATTTTAGGTACAAAGATGGGTAAGATTTGTTCTTGACTTGCTCGAGTTGTGAAAAGTTATAAGTCTCTGTCAGCCCTGGTATAAAGGGTGAAGGTTATATCTTCAGATTAGATGGTTGATTCATGGAGGGAAAAAACGATGAATTTTTAGGACAACACGACGTAAGATGTCTGAGTGAGTGTGGGCCTCTCGTGATTGATATGAAACAGATAACGCTGACTAGAACACAAACAAGTTGAGTGACTGACTGTAGCACCAACAGTGTAGTAGAGACTTAAAGCACCGACATACAGGAGGGCGGGGCCTTATGCCTGGAGTTCCTTTAGAGAGAAGCTGTCTCAAATTCATGTGAGAGTTTGATAGAAATAAACAGGTGGCTTGGTTGGAGGGGTGGGGGCTGTCTTTCCATCTCTCCATCTTCTGTATTGACCAAAGCCATGGAACTTGCAGTGATGGACTTGGGAGAAAAAGAGTCTGATTTTCTGTTAAATTGGACCTATAAACTTCCGTAGTTTTCTTTGGGCTCTGTCTTGCTGTCATGTGAACACGTTGATAGCATCACTGAATGTCACAATATTGATCACCGTGACTACCTGTCTCAGAAACTGTGACTTGAAGTGTCAGAGGCTCTGTGAACTCTTCTGCCTGAACAAGCCCTGATGAAACCTAGTGATACGAATGTCATGGGAAGCTGAAGCTTGGAATTACATGCTGGGTTTCTGGAGCGGTTCTTGACAGATGGATTGAAGGGGGTGGTACTAGCCATTCCGGACACCTGGCCCGTTGGCCTGTTGTTTATAGAAATATATTAAGGATAGAAGATGATAAGTTATTAACTTTTCTCCCTCCCTCCTGCCTTCATTCTTCCCAGTTTTCCTCTTTCATTTCCTTCATTTTCTCCCTCTTGTAACTCTCATTAACTTATTAGTGAATGACGAATGGCAAAGCTTCAGAAGAACGTTCCAAGATAATTATCTACATTTAAAGGTCTCCTTCATATGTGAATAACATTGAAAACATCACAATATTTGTGTCAACATAACCTTCATCAATGTCCAGCAGAAGTTGATTTCTTTGTTTAAAACACATAATAGTAAAAGTATCATGCTCACTTTTCATGGAGACGAGAGGATACTTAACAACTTTGCTTGATACCACGCAGCTGAGATTTATGAAATATTACAGCTGTGTTCTCTCGCTGCCACCCAGAACTGGTACTGACCCAGACCAGGATTCTGCTGGAGTTAATGTGACTTTTGCCAAGACTGAACTAGAACAAGAGTGGATCGTGGGACTTAGAAAAGCCAACAAATACACTCAACTCTCCTTCATTCGCCAGTCCTTAAAAGAATGTGCAGGGCCCCGTCACTGCCGAGTTCACCTAACTTTAGATCATTGGGTTTCAAAATGCAGTGATAGATATTTAAGTTACAGAAGGTATCAGTGCTTCCCCCAGCCTTGATTTTTTAAAAAAAATATCACAGACATGCACAACTACACGCTTGGAATTCTTCTAATCTTCTGATAAACACTGCAGGGACTTCAGGGGCAATGCATTTCTTAGCAGCGCTCTGAAATATACCAGAGCCTTCTTCCAAAGAAAACTTTACCCAGCTCTTAAGATCTGACCCGTGTCCAATCTGCACAGCTCTCTCTTTCTTCCTTTTTTTTTTTCTCCTCTCAAGGACTAATGGAAGTTGGTTAAGTATTTGGAACCCCCTTCCCCCCTCAGGTTCCACAGGCTTTGTTTCAGGCCCTGGGGGAGGAACAGTTGTGAATGCAATGTGACCCACTGACTCCCACTCTCCTGATTCTGGTTCTGATTGGTCGTCACCTTGCTCTAGAGGCTGCAGAATATACTCTAGCCTGCATCCCTTTCTCGTTTTTTCCCCTACTGTTCTCTTCTGCTGGTAACACTGGGAGTGGGTTCAGGGCTTTGTGTCTTGCTTGTAGTTTACCCCAGTTAGGCAGTAAGTAGGAGAGCACACCGTGTTTCCTAAGGATGGCTGTAGAGGAGAAAAACACCCTTTCATTTCGTGCCTGGTATAGTAATTATTTAGTTTCCTGTGCCGTTTTTGTTCAAAGTTTATTTTTTGGCAGGTGTCACATTTGTGTTGTATTATTTCCTCCTGGTTTCTCTCCTCCTCCTGATTTGAGCTGAGTTTTTTTTTGTTTGTTTTTGTTTTGTAAAGGTTCTTGGAGTCCCTTTCTCTGACTGCTATGCTATACTTTTGCTAGTTTGTTAATATGTTTGATGAATGTTGATTAAGATGGGGGTGGGGGTGGGCTGAAAGCAACTCTAAATAATTACTTGTTAAATGTCTACATGTTCTGGCAGTTACCAAGCAATGAAACCTACCTGTGATACTCAAAATGATCCGGAGCACCACTGCTATTTCTTTCCCATCTCCTAAACCCTATCAGCTTAATTACTCTGCCATTTATACATAAGAAATGGGATTTTGAAGACTTGGAAAGTTAATTTTTATAAGCATTTGATATTTTTATTAATTTACATTTTTATTATTCCACAGATGGTTTTTAAAGACATTGGACTCTGCATCCTTTTTTTCTTTTAATAGTTTACTATTAAAAGAGGAAGTGCTAGCAGAATATAAAGTATAGCAGAATTTTCCCCAAAAAAGTGGCCTTTATGTGATATTTTCATTGCCTAAAAGGAATCAATAGTAAAAATATTAAAAAATCTCTCAAGAATGTATTTTGTGCTGACTGAAAGTTTTTTAAAAACCACTTTGAACCAAACAACAACACAACCCGTTTTGTAAATATTTTCAGGTTCAAATATGTTAAGCAAGTATCGTGGAGGTTTGGATTCTTTGGAGAACATGTGCAGTGAAATTGGTTAGAGTCTGCAGCAGGAATTTGAAAATCAACCTGGCCTTTTGATTTCACTTAACTCTTCATTGAAAGGTCTTCATTCACTTCTTTTTCTCCATTCATAATCTGGATTAGAAAATAGCAATCTGTTTGTATCACAAATAACAAACCTCAGCTGGTGAACTCACTTGAACGTGTGTGAGAGGAGTGCTGCTTACACTTCCTTCCAGCCTTTAGGACAGGAGAGTCAGAACCCAAGTCTGGCCCCCAAATAATAACCCAAGTCTGGTTATTATACATTCTCTCGGCCACTTGCTATCTTCAGTCCCATCGCTTACAGATCACGTGACGAGAATAAGGACATTGACTTGGGCGCAGAGTATAGCTGTGAACAAAACAAGTCCTCCCCTCATGGAGCTTACGTTCCATTGAAATGTATTGTTATAGTAATGAAGGTATCCAAGTGCATGCTTTCCTTGGATTTGAACAAGGTCTAGAAAATTCATTTAATTTAAAAATGTTCATCCCATGTAACTAAATCTCTCCTGTCCCATGTTATAAAATCCCTCTTCTGCCTAAACAGATGTATGCATTTCTACAGATCCTGGTCCAGCAAAAAGTCCTGCTGATGAGTGAATATATTTCAGTCATCTAGAATTTCTGTTGTTTATATTGCATATTTCTTTTTTTTTTAAAGATTTTATTGGGGAATTGGAGGAGGGGAACAGTGTTGGGGAATTGGGGAAGGGGACCTGCCAAGTTGTTGTTCTTCAATCTTAGTTGTGGAGGGCGCCAGTCACCATCTGGCTTCCCGGCAGCAGCTTGTGGCCTCTAAGCTCAAGGTGCTGTGTTCAATCTTAGTTGTGGGTGAGTGGAGCCACCATCCCATGTGGGAGTCGAACCAGCAGCCTTGTTGTTAAGAGCGCATGCTCTATCCACTGAGCCATCCAGGCGGCAGTTCAGCTCAAGGTGCTGAGTTCAGTCTTAGTTATGGGTGGGCATAGCCCACCATCGAACAGACAATCTTGTTTTTACACCAGCTGAGCCATCCTGCCACCTGTTGGCAGCTCAGCAACAGCTCAGCTCGGGCGCAGCGTCACTGGCCCATGTGGGAATCAATCTGGCGGCCCCGTTGCTCAGAGCCTGCACTCTTAAGCCAACTCTTAACCAACTGAGCCACTCGTTCAGCCCTATATTGCATATTTCTGAGAGCAAGATTTCTTTGTTTAAAAGTCTGTTTAATGTTTGAATCTGGGACAGATATATAATATTTGTTAATAAAAATTAGTATAGCTGGTATCTAGGTTGTCAGAGGCAACAAGAAAAATGACCATCAATGTGCCGATCACAGCTCTGCGTACTTTACATACAGCAGCTTGTTTGGTACGTGTAAGAATGCTAAGGATGTTGCTAGTTGCCTCATTTTACAGACCAGGAAATTGAGCCATAGATAGGTAAAGTGGCTTAAACATCATCACATAGCTGGTAAGTAGCAAAACTGGAATTTGAATTGAGGCAGCCAACCTCCAGAGGCGTGTCTTCTCTGCTACACTATACTACCCTTCCAGCCTAGCACAATGAGCTAATAATAGTCAAGAAACCTGACTATTGTGTGACCTCCATCAGCTTTTCATCTCATCTGTGTGCCTCAGTTTCCCTTTATACATAGAACGTTTCTTATGCCATGGGTTTCTCCTCATTTGTCGAATCTATAAATTTTCAATGTAACAAGTTCTAGATTAAAGATATCAGAGACATAGTTGCTGCCTATTTCTGTACAGCTGACAGAAGAGTATTCTGATAGATTTTATTTCTTCTTGTCTCTCCACTTGGCAGAAAAGAGTCGTTGAACAGCTACGGAAGAACCTGATAGTAAAGCAAGAACAACCAGACAAGTTCCAAATACAGCCATTGCCACAATCTGAAAACAAACTACAGACAGCACAGCAGCAACCACTACAGCAGCTGCAGCAACAACAGCAGTACCACCACCACCACGCCCAGTCGGCTACACCCGCTCCCAGTCTGACTGCATCACAGGTAACAGTGTGCGTGGAGATTGGTTGTGTAGAACTGGGTCCTGTTTCCGGTTATATGAAGCTCAGCGAGCACGAAACAAAAGTTCCTTTGTTCACTTTTTCATACTATAACTGGGATAAGAATCACTTGAAATTCATGGTCAGAAGGAAATAACATTACTAAGAAGCAAAAGTTAAATGATTTCCCACTTGTCCAAAGAAGGAGGTGATTGGTGGCAACGAAAAATCGCTTCTTTGTGTTAGAACAGAAGTAAAGTCTTAATTTGAATTTCTGGAAGCATTTATTTGCACTTGTTCTAAAAATCTGGGTGAGTTGACTGCCTCTAGAATTGTTTTTCTGGAATTCTTTGCAATTACGTGTGGAGATATTGCAGGACAGGATCAGTGCCCCTGGGCCAGGTAGAAGGAGGCATTTGGAAGGGTGATATATTTCTGTTATTCGTAGAAACAAAATACTCATTTCTAGGTCTGTATTCAAGAGAAAATGAATCTGTTCTAATACCTTGAAGGAAATCTGAATTGGAAGCTACAGGTCAAAACTGGGACTAAGAAGTAGAGGCTTAATAACCCCAACCTGGTATAGCTGTGCAAATACTGTACTGTGAAGGGCATTTAAACTAGCATATAATGGAAGGATAATGAGGCAGTCAAGATACACAAAAAGGACACACTTGGGAATGACATTTGGTTAAGAAAATGATTCAAGCTTGATCTCCACACACTTAGATGTAACGTGGACATACATAGCTTTTAAAAATGAGACAGTAGAGCAGTGGTTCTTTTTTGATCCTTAGAGGTCACAAACCCCTTTACAACTCTTGAAAACTGTGGATCCCTCCCCAGAAAAATACACATTCACACTTAATACACTTGTTTTTGCACATGGTTTCAAGGGCTTGGATCTTCTGAAACTTAAGTGTGAATCTCTCTCACCCACCAAGACCAAATCTTCACTAGATCTTCATCTGTAGTAAAAAAGATATGGTTTACTTGGTTCTTCACTGTTTGTAGACATTGGGCTGATTCACATAGTCATACAACTTTCTGCAAGTGAAGAATGCATTCCTCATAAAAATATTAAAGATTACTAAAAATAGTTAATGTTTAATAGAGGTTACTGTATACTGATACTCTCCTAAGTACTTTACATACATAATTTACACAATCCTAACCCCAACCCTAATAAGGAAGGTGATGGCCTTATTATTATTGTTATCATAATCATCATCTCTATTTTTTTAGAAAAGAAAACTAAGGCACAGAGAGATCAAGTAATTACCTGAAGTCACATGGGTAGCATGTGGTGGAGCCAAGATTTGAACCCAGATGTTCTGGCTGAAAAATCTGTGCCTTCTACTCCTCTACACTGCCACACAATACAAAAAGGAAAGAAATGCCAACATTCTACAAATGCCCAAGAAAGAAAAAAAAGGATCCCAGTTGTACAGCAGATAGCTAGAGCAGTCTACATAATTTTTACCATACTCTCTACCCAAGGCCATTTGGAAATTAGATATTCAAACTGACTTCTAAAACCTTTTGACCAGGACTTGTATTTCTCCTGAAATACTGCTTACCAGATTACTTTGTTGGAGTTCTATAGAGTTGGGTTAGGTTGTTCTCTTTCCAAAGGACAGTTTGATCAGAAAGTGTTTACATGGAAGGAGTGTGGTAGACTTCCTTGTTTCCTGTACGCAGGCATTTTCTCTCTTAACTCATGGGAAGTTTCTGTTCACGTAACATTCCACGTCACATGAAGATACTTATATAATACTTAGTCCCTTCCTGGTCATCTGAATATGGGCTGCTTTGGGATGGTGGCAGTGAGGTGCCTAGTGAGAGGCTATCCCCAAAACAGTGTTGTGTGGCATCTCTCCATGTGGTAGCCCACCTGATACATCTGATTGATTTAGTTAAGCTTGTTTTATTTTGTTTTGTTTAATGCAAATGTTTAATGTTAAAAGCCCAAAGATCCTCTAGATGTTGGGTTTCGTTTTTAGGTAACAGTCAACTACCAATCAGTATTTATTGGGCACTCTCCGTGTGTTAGGTTCTGGTATACAAAGAGGTAGTAATGGCCCCTGCCTGGCTTCTGGTATGCTATGGTAATTATTTTCATCCATTCTGTAAATATTTAGTGAGTACTATATGCAAGCACGGTGCTAGGCAATGTAGAGGATAGATTCCCAAATAAGACCGAATTTCTGTCTTCAAGAATTGAAAACATTTAGAGAAGGAGAGGAAGATGTAAGCAGCTAACGAGTAAAATGAAAGGACCAGAGAAGAGCTGTGAAAATACCAGAGGACAGAGTAATTCTGACGAGAGGGATCAGACAGTACTTCATAAGGGAGGTGGCTTTTGAGCATGGCCTTGACAGATAGGTGAGATTTCAGTGACAAGCAGAGGGGAAGAGTGTGGCAGATGCTCAGAACAGTGTGAACAAAAGAGTGGAGTCACAGTGCTAACGCATGCCCTGGGACTAGCAAGGGACTAATGTGGCTGGAATGCGGATTCCAGGAAACATGGATGCCGAGAGAGAAAAAGCCAGAAAGGTAGGAAGAGGCTCGTTTGTGGAAGCCCCCCAATGCGTGACTCAACTTTGGGGTTCTTGGCAGTCGTAGGGAGTCATTAAAGGTTCATAAGGCCAAGGACAAATGGGAAGCTGTATATGGCATATAGTAAATTTCTAAATTCAGAAAAGCAATAACGGCTAAGTGGCAATCAGCATGGGCAGGGAGATGGTAGGAAGAGAAAGTTTTTAATCTGAGCCAATGATTAGCATGTACCAGCGTGTGGGGGGATGGAGGGCAGCTGCCTTTACTTAGTTTAACTCCAACTCATGCTTGTTTGTGTATTTTGAAATTTTTTCAATCAATAGAAAAAAAAAGAAAGAAAGCATAGAACAGTTGAATGCAGGTGTACCTTCAACTTACATTCACAACCCTGTCACTTTTAATGATGTAATACAAATGTAAAGAAGCATCCAGTTAATAAAACCAAACAGAAATAAACACTTGTAGACAAACAGTCAGGGTTCTGTTTGCAGTTGTTTGGGTGTACAACAGTGACCTTCCATTCAAAATTAAACAGTCTAGGGCCAGCCGAGTGGCTCGGCTGGTTAAGAGCTCGCTCAAGAGTGCGAGATCTGAGCAACAGGGTGGTTGCCGGTTCGATTCCCGGCCCGAGCTGAGCAGCTGCTGAGCTGCCAACAGGTGGCAGGATGGCTCAGCTAAAAAAATAAAATAAAATAATTAAACAGTCTAAAATACACGTGGAAGTTAGAATCCACGGTAATAATCCCTCTAAGTTCTGATTCATACATTGGAGTCTATCTGTTTTAAATCAATACCTCATGCTTTGTAGGTATACAACAATAATAACTTAGAAAAAGTAATATAGGGTTTCGCTGTTAGTGCTTCTTGCCATGTGTTTTTGCATTAACTTCTAGTTCATGCAGTTTGGTTTTAGTCGAAATTAAAGAACCCCTTCATGAAGCTGTTGGGAAACTGCTATCTTCTTTTAAAGGTGATCATACTTGGGTAGCGCCAGCCAGCCAAGGACTAATCACAGCTTCCATGAAAATAATCTTCTTCGGACATCTTTCCCTCTGTCTTCCCCTCTTCCTGCCAGAACAGTTCAAAGGCTTTCATTAGGTTTGGGTTTCAAAATTCTAGATTGTCTTTGTCATCTGAACTCTTAATACTCCTAGAGCTTGGTTTATCTTCCAAATACTTAGAATAAGCGTCAGACCCAGAGTAAAAATCTAAGCGATACTTAGGTCAATACCTGCTGTGAATAAATAGTTAGTAAACGTATTTTTCAAAAAGCTTTCCTTGATGCATATAGTGCAAGGTACCTGTATATACAAAGACATTTACATAGATGCTCAAATACATGTAGCGAAATTAGCCACAACTAAATATTTATAAAGTAGAGTAAAAATGCTAATCTAAGATGTGAACAAGCTTTGTCAGGTTTCTGTTTTTAAAGTGTCATGGCTAATGGTAAGTATATAATTCAGGTGAGTTTGAGGTTTTACTCACTTTTTTAGAGCCATTACTTCAGGGTTGTTCAAACTATTGATAACGATTTACCTGAACCAAGGATGCTTCAAACAAAAGTACACTGACCTCTTTTAAAGCATTACAATGAGCAAACTGTTTTTAAAATCCACCTCAGTGAGTCCTGCCCATTAGAGCTTTACTTCTACAACCCGTGGGGCACCAGGATTGAATGCTATCTGGTGTGACTTGCTTACAACGTCAAAAGTTCCTTGCATTTAAACGTTTTAAATTGACAGAGCTAATATCATACTGGGACAAAAAACACTTATTACAAGTAGCTGTTTGGTATTGTAAAGTCAGTTCGAGCTGCTACACTAATATAACATTTTTAATGATAATAGCATTTAGCTCTTTTTGGTTTTATCACTGATAGATAGTAGATGACCTGTTACCCCCAAAGTAATATCAGCATTCCCCTTTTACTCCCCTTTCACATTCGAGGAGGCAGTGGCAAGGGGAATAGCCACTTCTGTTCTGTTGACTTAGAGAAGAGGAAACAAAGAATTGGGTGATTTATTGACAAGCATTAATAAGGATTGCTGATTAGGCTAGGATGGGATAGAGGAGACCAGGTCATTAAATATTTAGTTAAAAGAAGAAAAAGAGGTTAAAAGATTAGGTAATACATGTGCGTGTTTAAGGCAGAAAATGGAAATAAAGAATTACCTAGCACCAAACAACTTAATGCACAAGTGCTTACGTAGGCACTGAAATAGAAATTCCCAAGGGACTTTGTCCAGATCTGTGTCAGGGGGCGTGGGGCCCTTCTCACTGGTCTGGAGCAATGCTGGCTAATAGAACTTCCTGCACTTTGGGAATCTCCACTGGCCACTTTGGTCGTCACTAGCCACGTGTGGCTGTTTAACACTTGAAATGTGGCTAATGTGACTAATGAACTGATGTTTGAATTAATTTAACTTTAAATAGCCAGATGTGGCTGGTAGCTACCAAATTGGAGAGTGCATGTATAAAGTAAGAAGGAAGGGCAGAGTAGTATCAAAATCAGACCCTACAAGTTGGACCAGATAAATTTTCATGTTCCCGAAATGTCTGTATTTTGAGTGACTAGTAGCACTAGATAGATGTGTATGCCATGTAATAAGGTTGTTTATACATTTTTTTTTGTTTTCTGACTGGCTCCTTTAATTAGTCTAGTAAAAAGTCTAGAAAAACACAGCTTCGGAGCTGCAGTAGTGCTTATGGAGCGCCAGTCGGGCCCTCTCACTTCAGTTCATCCTCTGATCTGTGAGGCTTTTTGAAACTCAGGTGTTTGTTTCCACCTTGTCACGTTTCACTGGATCTTTGATCACTTCTGCAGCATTTCTTCAGAGAAAAGATTATGGGTAGTGCCTCCTACCCCTTTGGTATCGAGAGCTGGTATTTACTGTGCTGGTTGGTTAGTAGGTTTTGTTATCTGGTATTTGGGATTTACTGCCTCTGAGGCAACATTGATGCTAATCCTCATGTGAGGTTCCCTTCCACCCCTCCAGGGTGACACTCAAAAGAATGAAGACACTTTCCCTTTATCCCAGCCTTTTGTGTCACAAAAGGCAGATAATCAGAATTACATGATGGCTTTCTTCCTATTGATGGGTTGTAGCAATGAAGGATAGAGATGGCGTGTGCCTCATTGATTTGCAACTTCTACAAAGTTTAAATTAATTGAGAGCAAGCAAAGCGTTAGAAAAAAACAGAAGAACTAGGTACACTCATATTCTGTATCTGTAAACTTACCCCATTCATTGCTGAAAACCCTGTGCTAGTATTAGTCTGCAGTTATTACTACGAACTGGAAGCCAAGTGAGAACCCTGGAAAACTAGAGATTGTCTTTCTCTATAGTAAAAGGTGTGCTCTAGGTACACAAAAGAAGTGGTGTTATACCAAGAAACTTGATGGTGAGAATTATTGCTTTGTCTTTTTCTGGGGGTTAGCAGCGTATTGTTTAGAGGGATCACACTTCAGTGTCCTAATATCTGTTCTCCATGTCTCCTAGAAGACTGTAACTACAGCTTCTATGATTACCACAAAGACACTACCTCTCGTCTTGAAAGCAGCAACTGCGACCATGCCTGCCTCTGTTGTGGGCCAGAGACCTACCATTGCTATGGTGACCGCCATCAACAGTCAGAAGGCTGTGCTCAGCACTGATGTGCAGAACACACCAGTCAACCTGCAGACGTCTAGTAAGGTCACTGGGCCTGGGGCAGAGGCTGTCCAAATTGTGGCAAAAAACACAGTCACTCTGGTAAGCCAGCAGCTGCTACCATGTGTGCCCACATGAGAGGGTTCAGGATATGCGTTTAGAGAGTATATCCATTTTATGCTCCTGCTGGATTTTTCAGTCTCCATCACTCCCCCGTACCAAATTCCCCTTTGGGGCTGACTAGGGAATACAGCCTTCCTACTGTCTGCTCAAATAACTGGAGATGTGTCCTGACACCAAGGACCAAAGCTCATTCAGTGCATTATCTGAGGTCAAAGTATGGCTTAACTGGAGGCGGGAAATGCCCTTCACAGAGGCGTGCACACTGTTTGATGTATCTCTCCCTCCTGTCCATGGCCTTTGCTGTGAAACGAGTGCTTATACGGTCTGATGTTATATTACTGATTTGGAAAAACTGCCTGCTGAATTCTTTTAGTTTACTGTCCCTTGTCTGCACTCAGGAAGTACTGGAGTTAGTTGGGGCACTTTAAAAATATTCAAGAAACTCAGAAATTAACAGTGTCCATGTCCAAGGTCTATTAGCAAAATCCCTTGAAGAAAGAAGCACTTGAACAAAATTGTTCATGAGATTCCTAGGGTAAGCCATTTAGAAACTGGTGTTCTCAGAAGCTTGAGGAAAATAAATCCAAGTTGTGATTGAAAAGTTCGTTCCTAAAATGGCAGCTATGAGCCCATGGTGGCTTTTGAATGATGTCCAGCAATGAGTGAAACTAAAGAGCAATAAAGTAAAGCTTCACCATTTACCCAGGAATTTTTAGAGAAGCAACCAGATACCTCAGCCAGATACTGAGAGTTAGAAAGTTCTCTATAGGAATAAAGCCATTCACTGTTAGATAAAATTCTTACATTAGGAAAAAGCCCATTTGGCCAGGCAGCAAGTTTGATTTTACTTTGGATCCAGTCTTGACTTTTAAAATACGTTAAGTGCAAGTGTTCTTGAGTGTCAAAGGAAATGGTCCACGGTTGCTGAGCCTGCGTGTTTTGCATTAGGCGTGTGAGGAAACATAAATGTGATTGGTTCACCATATGGGGTCAGTCGTGCAGGTGGGAGAGGAAGAGTTTCCTAATGGCAGTGTTAATTCATATGGTTAATTCTGTAGTGAAAGCTTGTAGCCAGTATTGTCTGATCCAGAGAATAGTGATGCTGAAAATACTTTAAGAATGCCTAGCTTTGATAGTGAACAATGACTGTCCCCTCCGGTTTATTTATCTTTCTCATTTTTTAGCAGGTTCAGGCAACACCTCCTCAGCCCATCAAAGTACCACAGTTTATCCCTCCTCCTAGACTCACTCCACGTCCAAACTTTCTTCCGCAGGTGAGTAAACCAATGACAAGCCCAGTGAAGGGTTAGGTGGGACAGAAATCCTCATGGGCCCTTTCTACGCAGCCTGGAATGCTCTTGCCAGCTTAGCTGTATTCAGATCCCACTTAGAGGTTCTAGCTTCTGATTTCTGTACCATGAAGAAGCTTATTTTATCATCAGGGTTTCTTAGCAATGATCAAAGGCAGTAGCAGGGGGATGTGTGAGGAGAGGAAAATTTCCTAAATTAAAAAAAAAAATTAAGATAACCCATTTTAAACCTTATAATGTTAACTTACTGGAAGAATTTAACCAAAACCTGCCTACCAGTGGGGAAGGAATGAAATACCACTTTCTTCCCCACTGTGTGCCAAAGAAAGCAGGGAAGGAAACAACAGCCAAACTAACCACTAGAAACCATTCAGTTTTACTGTGGAAAGTGGTGGTATATAAGCCTTGGTTATAAAGATTTAGACTAGCGGTCTACTCAGGGAGCTTTCTGTCTGGGCCCAAGCAATTCTGCTTGCCCATATTCTCCTGAGAGTGTTCTTCCAGCAATTGGGCTGAATTCACCATTCTTGTGGCAGAATATCAGGATTGCCCTCTGGACCTTGAGGGGAGTTGACTTGCCTGGTAGAAAGGCTGGGAATTCCTATCTGAGGCCCCAAGAAGACAAAGGAATTTTGTGGTCAGTGGCTATAAGTGATTTCTGAATTCCTTCTGGGGAGGGGATAGGTAGTGCTAAACGTGATTTTAATCATTTATCGCATAAGTCCTTAACAAAATCCTGGTGTTTCCAAAAAGGCACTAAGCACTATGGATATGTCAGTTTTCAAGACAGACAGTTCCCTGCCCTTAGAGAGCTTCAGACACATGTACAGGCAACTACAGTCCATTATGGGAAGTACAGAGGCGCCTAAGAAGACATGGGAGGGATACCTAACTCCTTAAGAGCATTACAGAACATTTCCTTCAACAGTTGACATTCTATCTGAGACCTAAAATCCTAGTAAAGTTAGCCCGTCAGAGTTTTGGGAGAAGAATAAAAATGCTCCAGGCAGAGAGGGCAGAGCATATACGCAAGCCTGGGATGGAGAGATGCCTGTAAGCTTAAGGAGCAAAAGGAGATTTGGTGTGCTCAGCACCGTGAGCCATGTGGCTGACTCAGGCTGGAGTAAGAGATAAAGCTGGAGAGGGAAACCCATTGGGCCAGAGCCTGTGGAACCTTGTAGGCTATACAGGAATTATCCCAGAACAGTGGGCAACCATTAAAGCATTTTTAGACAAGTACTTGACGTGATCAGATTTTTGTTTTAGAAAATTCCTTCTTGCCACTGTGTGAATAGGTTGGATGTGAGCAAGACCGTGGGGAGGAAGAACAGTTAGGATATTATCAGCAATAATAATGGCTAATGTTTAGAGGATCTTGCTGTGTGACACTTAGCTATGTAGGCACTTTACATGGGCTGTTTGATCCTCACAACAGCCCTAGGAAAGGAGGGATTACTCTTTTTTAGATACGGTATCTAAGGTTTAGTCCATGTATTTTAAACAGTGGGTCGTGACCCATTAGTAGACTGTGAAATCAATGTAGTGGATTATAAGCAGAAGTTTTAAATCAAATGAACAAGCATAATAGGAAATATTAGCATACATAGCACATATTGTTTAATGAAGGTTTTAGTTTATAGAGGTAATGTCTATATGTGTGTACTGATTATAGTGTGAAATGTGTTTTCTACTATGTATGTGCTGCACCCACCATGTGGTCGTCTTAAGTTCAGCTCAACATTCACAAGATTGTCAAGGGCCACACTTGGCACCAGTCTACTTGGAACGATACAGGACAGAAGCCAGAGCTTGCCAGCCCTTGCTCAGCATCAGACATTTTTCTTCAATGGGAGTCCCTGTAGTAGCCCTCAGAGCAATCTCTGCAGCTGTCCAGGGATAGCTCAAGTGCGGGGAAATGAGACCTTTATCAGGACCCTTTATCAGGACAGTGGGAGAGCCACTGTGGGATAGAAACCTTAAGCTTCCCAGGGCCAGGGTATCTTGTAACAATCCCATACGTATGACTTAAGGTCCCTGCAATGGACATGCCCAGTGGAAGCCCAAAGTATCGTGTCCCATCAAGTATTTATAATTCTCTCCATTCAGATTCAGTTTAGCAATAAGGGGTCATTTTTATCATAAGCAGTGTTGCCTGGTAACATAGTTGGCATTCTTACCCTTATCAGGTTTCCAGGGGAACAGAGCTGGAGAGTTAACTTGAAGGTCAAACTCTCATGCATAAGGGGAAAGCATTTTACCATAGGGTCACAGTTTAGAAAGTTTGGCAAGTACTGGCTTAGAGAGATCAGATATATTCCCTGAGGGTATGCAGCTAGTAAGTGGCAGAATCAGGGTTTGAACCTAGGCAAGGCTGACCCCATGTTTTTAATCACAATTTCCTGCCCCGTTTCAGTAAGCCAAATATAAGGTTGAGTAGTGGCTTGAGGACATAAAATAGATATATTTGAAAAGGATTTAGGAAGTACAGGTAGAGTAGGAAGCATCAAGAATGATTCTGAAGTTTACTGAGCAAGTAAAGGCCATTGACTGAGGTGATGATTATAGGAGGAAAAGAGGGTTGGAGTAAGAAATTGATGAGCTTTAGACATGTTGATTTTGAACTTCTTGTGAAATTTCCAAGTATAGATGTCTAACAGGCAGTTGAATATATAATTCTGAAGTTCAGGAGACACCTGGTCTTAAGATACAAAGTCTTCAGTACATAGATGATCATTGAAGCCATCGATGGGTGAGGGCTCCCAGAAGGAGTGGGGACATTGGGAAGAAAAGGGATTCCAGGACAAAATCCTGAGAAATACTTACATTTAGGATTGGACAAAAGAAGAGGAAGCCCACAAAGAGAAAGGAATGGGAGTGGCCAAGATGAGGAGTTAAAGGGCCAGAGAACTGAAGCTGCAGATAGGAAGAAATTTAGAATGTGAATTAAGGCCATTGGCAGCATTATTACCATAATTAGCACAAATTCTGGGTGAGACCAGTCTCTGGATTCAACATTTGAACTGAACATAAAGAGGCAGCATAGTATAGGAGAGGGAGCTGGGTTTGGAATCAGAACTGCTCTAGGGTACCATTTGGACCCTCTTAAGAGCTGATGAGTCTTTCATAAGATTATATATCTTGAGATCTATAGAATTAATAAACCAAAATGAATATTAATATTTGTACTAAATAACATTTCACATGGATAGTGTAGAAGATCTGGCAATGTCTTAGACTTACAGGTCTTGAGAAGTTTCTTTAAGTGATATAATTGTTCTCTCTTTCCCCATAGGTTCGACCGAAGCCTGTGGCCCAGAATAACATTCCTATTGCCCCAGCACCTCCTCCCATGCTTGCAGCTCCTCAACTTATCCAGAGGCCCGTCATGCTGACCAAGTTCACCCCCACGACCCTCCCTACCTCCCAGAATTCCATTCACCCCGTCCGTGTCGTCAATGGGCAGACTGCAACTATAGCCAAAACGTTCCCCATGGCCCAGCTCACCAGCATCGTGATAGCTACTCCAGGGACCAGACTCGCTGGACCTCAAACTGTACAGCTTAGCAAGCCAAGCCTTGAAAAACAGGTACAGGCAAGAGTATGCACCTGCTTTGGGCAGGAGCCTTGCCATTGAGGCTGGACTGTCTCTAAATACATCTTCTCAAGGGCTCTTTATCTCAGCACCACTGTCAATAACCTGTTGCTTATCATGTGCTAATTTAGCCACAATGCGAAAGGGCCATTCTTAGTGAAGAAAGTTGGGTTGCTTTTCCTGTTATCCTCTTATAGATGATCAGGGTCCTGTGTGAGTGAGCTCCCCCTGCTGGTTCTGAAGCAGAAATTCACAGATGGGTTTTGCTATCCTCAGTCAGGTAGCATAGATGAGGTATAAACAAAAAATGCAATATTAGTTTCTGCCCAGTGAGAATCCAGATGAGGATATGACTGTGAAAGTCAGGAAGAATAAACAAAATCAGGAAAGGCGTTTCATCTCAAAGATTTTCCCTGGTTATTACAGATAATGAAGAGCTAAATGAAAAAATGAAAATTTCTGAAAAGCATTCTTTTATCTCTAGAGGATGCAGACATTTTAGCTCAAGTGTTGAAGCCTTTCTAACACCAGAAAGGTGTTTATGTTTCTAAAACCAGATTTTTCTCTTAAAACACCTGAGGCTAAAGAAATCTACAGGTAACCTCCAAAAATGCTTAAGGGTTCTATGGCAGAAAGATTTCTAAAAACAAGAAAAAGGATTTATAGGCAAGCCACCACGTTCTATTTAAAGAAAGACCAGTGACGAAACAAGAATGTTGCAAAGAAAAGCATCCTCGTTCAGAAAGTTGCTTTAAAAAGTCGTTGACCTACTTCTCACTGCTCAGGCTCGAGTCCTCATTCATCTGAAAGTAGTCTCTGGTGATCCGGAGCCGCCTCCTTCTGGACGGCTGACGGTGATTCAGAGAGGCTGGCCAGATGGTGGGGAATGGGAGGCTTCCTGCTGCCTTGGGCTTCTTGAACAGAAGAACATGATGCATGCAGCACCGGCTTGCCACCCAGGCGGCTCACCAATGCAGCAGGCCTTTCTTAGGAAGCTGGGTGTTCAGGAAACACGAGAGAGAACGTATCTCGGTTCCTGGGGAGCCTACTCAAACCCCAGGAAATGCTGTAGGGAACATTGAGAAATGTTTTACACATATTTTAGATCACAAGCTTTCAAACTTATTATCCGCAGAACGTCAGTGCTAAAATAGATCAAGCTTAGGAGTTTGTGTAGGGGCATGTTTGGTGATCGTCTGTCCTCACATCCTGTGCTGGTTCTGAGAGAACCTCTGAGAAGCCTTTGAGTTCCAAAGACTATCGTTTCAAAACACTAGTTTAGATTGCTGAATATCAGTTCTCTCTGACCTCTTTTTTAATAAAGATATTTTTAGGAGACAGGAATTTTTTCATTTTTATCTTATTTTTACATTTCTTATTTTTTCTGATTACAAAGATAATACATATTCGTTGTAAAAGAAAAATTCAAACATTGCAGAAATATATATTGTAGAAAGTGCATCTGCCCCAAAATCTATGAAGAGAGTAAACTTCCCCCATAATTTTACCCCCTAAAAGTTGCTATTAACAGTTTAGGTTATATTCCTTAAGATACTTTCTGTGTACATACTAACATTTTTAAAGCAAAACAAAATCAAACAAATTATATTATTTTGTAACTTGCTCTTTTCCTTATTAGATCTTGAATGTCTTTTCATGTCCTGGCCTTACACACTGATAGAGTTTTTAATTTTAATCATAATTTAGGAAGGTACTCATAAATTCTTAAAAAAAAAATCTTTTCTACTGATAAATTCTGTAGTCTCTCTTCTTGTTGACCTGACCTAATAGAGGAATCCAATCATTGCTATTTTAGTTTAGCAGGCCACCTGGCATAACAGCCTTACAGGTTACCAAGCTCAGCAAGGATCCTCTTTAGACTGAACTCCATTCTCAGAATTCTCTTACTTCAGACCTTTCTACAATGCTTCTTTTCTTTTTTATGTTTCATTTCCCATATCACATTTATAGCCAGTAAGAGATCTCATAGACGGGCTAAGAGTGAAGCAGTGTAAATACGTAGCCACAGAAGTACCACTCACAGCCTGCTCATAGTTACCAAAACCAGTATCCAGCATTCTCTGCATGACCGACCAAGCTAAGTGGGTTCCTTTCTGCTTTCTGCTGTTTCCTTTAAGGTGATAACATTCACTTAATAAAAATGTGATTATGTACCAGCTGCTAGGCCTCATGTGGTGTCTAACTATAAGGGCGGATAAATCAAACCTGTACCCTCACAGAGCTAAATCTCTCATGCATTTGCAGCAGGCATTGAGGCTCTGTGGCCAGGGGAGGAAGGCTGGCAAGTTATGTAGTGTTAGAGGCCTCCCATCTTGGCACAGGAAAGGGACAGGGCCATATCAGTTATAACAGCAGTGGTCTCACTTCTTCCACTGCCAGGCATCACCAACGTCCTTACCCACCCCAGATAAGAGGTCCCTTGTCTTAGCCCTTATTAGAAGTTAATTACCTTGTGGCTCTGAAAAAGTGAATAGTAGAGTGTACAGAGCTTTGAGGCTAGAAACATATTTTAGGCAGAAAAGTAGATCAGTCCAGATGAACTTATATTATAGTCCCTACACCACTACCTTTCATGTCCTTGTCCTTTCCAGCACTCTGGAAATGAGGCGAAACACCTGTTGATGATGGCATGAGTTAGTGTTTAAAGTCCGTGAGAGACTGTGTCCAATGCAGTTACTTCTCAGGATTTATGCTCATTTCTTATCCACCCAACAAAGACCTCTGTGTGTGCCCCAAGGCTCAGCTACTGAAAAACATCCAGGTTCTGGGGGGGAAATTGCCAGATTGCCACCCATTCCCCTACTTCCATATATAGCTTGCATAGGAACCTACACAGTATCCTCTTGAAAAGGTGCACTTTCAAGATGAGAATATAATCTTACGTGTTATCCTCGAAACCCAGTCTTCCCTCCTAGGAAACTTGACCTGGTGACTCCTCACCCTCGTTTAGCACTGATGCTGTCATAGGGAAGCTGGAGCCAAAGGACCAAGCAACGGGTTTGGCTCTGCCTTCAGTACAAATTTATTTACCCTGGATTGATGAAACTATTTGGACTTGTGTTTATTTGCAAGTACCTGACTTAGATTATTCATGCAGCCAAGTCTCGGACAGCGAATCTGGAATTTAGGGCATAAATGATTAACTTAGTTCTAGTCTTGTCCAGAGTTTTTTATTTCTATCTTTATAATACCAAAACGACCAGCATTTACAAATTCAAATACCCATCAGTGTGAACTGCCAGAAATATAAACGAGTAAAACAGGCTGGACTTTTAACTTGTCCATTTTCAATGGGAGCATGAGCGCAAGAAACACCCCTCTTTTATTCTTAATTCCTCTTTGAAATAGTAAGACAAGCATGATAAGACTGATAACTTGGCCTTGGCGTCAAGCAGACAGTAGGAAGTGGAAGAGACTGTGATAAACTGCAAAGTATTTAATATACTCCATCTCAAGGAAGCGGCTACTTCTTGACAATAGCCAGTTTTTATCATGTGGAAACTTTTTCAGAAAAAGCCAGGAATCCAGGTATTTTGAGAAATCACCTAGTTTTTAAAGGTAACTGTTTAAACACCATGTAGAGATAGATAGATAGAGAGAGAGAGAGAGAGAGAGAGAGTGTGTGTGTGTGTATACATGCAAGGAACCTTTACTTTGGATGAGGATTTATAATCTCTGATAGAGACCAAACTTTTAGCTTAATCCATTTTTTTTTATTTCCCAACCTAATTTTTTTAATTGAGATGAAATTCACATCACATAAAATTAACAATGTTGACGTGAACAACTTTAAGCAAAACAACATAAAACGAAACCAGTTGGACCATAGGCTAGTTATATACAGAAATATACTGTAGGAACTCAACTCTTATTTACATCAATTAGGCTGTAGTAAAATTGATTAAAGTCACAGTTTCTAAGAACCTATCGACGACATTAAGTGAGGACTTAACTAGATTCGTCTTTAGATGCTTTCATCAGACGCCATCTGGAAAGCCACCCCAGCGTCAGGTGGGCAAACCAAAGGTCATCATCCTCTGAACCACTCCTCAGAGAACCACCAAACAGGCCAAGGTTTTGAGAACAAAGTCCACATTGCTGCCCCTGGCACCAGCAAACCACACCAGGAACACAGGTTGCCATCCCCACAGCCTCTGCCCAGTTAGGGAATGGGTTTTGTAGGTAGGTAAGGAAAAATGCTTTCTTAAAAGCAGCCTTTTTGTTCAATTCAGGGCCCCCTTAGTTGCAGTAATTGTTTTAGTAGATTCCATAACTCTAAAAATTTTATTCTGGTTTTGCGAGCCTAATGATTGCTTCAGGAGAAGGACTGATTCTTAGAGCTCCCTGTTCTGCCATTTCTGTGACATCACTCCCCCACCCTGATGTTTTTGTTTGTTTTAAGCTGCTTCAAAAAGCAAACATTATCTCACACAGTTTTGGAGGGTCAGGAATCAGGTTGCATCTGAACTGGCTCAAGATCCCTCGCAAGTTTGCGTTCAAGCGAGTCGGCCAGGGCTGCAGTCATCTCAAGGCCCAACTGGGGCTGGATAACCCACCTCCAAACTCAGTCCCGTGGTTGTTGGCAGTCCCTCCTCCTCCCTGGCTGTTGGCAGGAGGTTGAGTTCCTCACCACATCCGCCTCCCCGTAGTGCTGTTCACAACATGGCAGCCAGCGTCCCCCAGAGTGACAGGTCCATGAGAGAAAAACACCTCCCCAATGTTTTGATTGTTTTTTCATTATTATTTTGGATGCTTTTTGTTTCTTTATCCAACCCTGAGATAATTGTGCTCTTCTGCATGAGAGAGAAAATTTGAACCTTGGGTAGTTCCTTAGCGGAGAGGAATTGGTTTGCCCTTCCCAGAGGCATTACCGCTGTGTGCTTTATCCAGCCTTAGAGATGGAAGTAAGTGACCCCCAGGAATGTCACACAGCCTTGAAGTGGAGCAGCAAACCCTTTCAGTTGACCTTCTCATCTCCGTCCTCCCTCAGACTCGCATCCTTCCACATTCAGAGAGCTATGAAAATAAGCTTCCCGGACACCCAAGTCCTTAAAAATGTCACTATAAACTACTTTTCTATTGTGTTCCCTTTTGGAGTGTTGGGTGGTTTGTTTTATGGAGTAAACATGTCCTTTTTGGTTCAGAAATGTGTGTGTGTGTGTGTGTGTGTGTGTGTGTGTGTGTGTGTGTGTGTGTGTGTAGGGAGAAGGAGAGAGAGGGGACACAAGTGATTGTTGTGGCAGCTCATATTCCCACTCAGAAGATGAGCATTTCTCTACAGTAAACCTGCTGTATGCGAGGCACTGTACTAGGCGCAAAGAGGTGCAAAAGTGTGTATAACAACCCCTGCTCTCGAGTAGCTTATAGTACAGAGGAGGAAATATGACAAGACACTGGTTAAAAAAAATTCAAGGCAGCATTTGTGCCCTAAAACTGGTTGCCACAGTATTGATAGGGCAGATGCTTACACTTTCCCTAAGTCATAATAGGAGAAGCAGAAGGAAAATATGGAAGTATCCAGGAAGGAAAGTAAAAGATCTTTGTGGGCCGACTGAGTGACTCAGCTGGTTAAGAGTTCGCTCAAGAGTGCGAGCTCTGAGCAACGGTGGTTCGATTCCTGGCCCCAGCTGATCTGCCAACAGGTGGCAGGATGGCTCATCTAAAAAAAAAAAAAACCTTTGTGATTGTGTCAGGTTTTCAGATCTTGTAAAAGATTTCGCAACTTAATGATTTTTGAGAACTTTTGATGTCCTGCCTGGAGGGCCAGTCTTTCATTTGGCTGCTGCTCACCAATAAGCAGACAGTTTGGTTCTCATTTATGTAATTACTTGTTGTTGCCATACAAAAAGACTATTCGTGTCTGCTTTTTTAATTTTGAAAAAGTAAATTAGGTTTGTGTTTACACTTCTATATCCACCTTTCTAATATCATTTCAGTGTTTACAGAGGGCTTCATAAAATGAATACCCATTGGGTCATGATAAGAATAATAATGCAAGCCCAGTCTGCAATTTGTTAGCTGCCCTTTGTGTTTGAAGATGTGAATGCTCTTGGTGTTTCTTTTGTTTGAATGGATGCATCTGGAAGATGAGGTTGCCGGTAATAAGGATGTCAGCCCTCTTGCAAGATGACCTTTCCTTGGCAATTGCATCTCTCCTCTAATGGATAAGGCAGACAGGTTTTAAATATCCCAAATGAGGGGAGCTCTGCAACCTCTTTTAAGTTATGATTGGAAATGTTCTGAAATAGAAGAGTGTGGATGTAAGATTTTTTTTTTTTGGACATTGTTCAGATCTTAAGCATGCTGTGGACTGGAGCTTGACCTGTATGTAACAAGAGTGGGCTTGCTTCTGGAAAACTGCCCCTACATTTTGAAATACATTAAAATTAGTGCAGCCTAGACTTTATTTTTATCCATAGGCGTTAAATCATGGGTTTTTCTTTTTGTATAATTTAAACTACTGTATTTATAGATTTCGTATCTACTCTAGTTATGCAATTTAATTATTTCAACCAGGGCCTTACGGTTTACTTTTCTCTCCTTCACCAAGTTTCCAGTTTCAGTATGTTCTTCTTTTCATTCTTGTTGACTACAGTCAAACTGTGTTTATTTTCATTCTTTTAATAAGTAAATTCTGAACTTTCGTTTAATGTTCCTCTCATAGACGATAAAATCCCACACAGAAACAGATGAGAAACAAACAGAGAGCCGCACCATCACTCCACCTGCTGCACCCAAACCAAAACGGGAGGAGAACCCTCAGGTAGGCCCTGCCCCCGAAGGCGTGGCTCAGTCTGTGAGACCTGCCTTGTTCTCACCCATCAGGAGGGATGCTTCCTTCCCGAATCACTTTATGTTTCTTTTGCTTCCTCACTACTCAGTAATGTTATTGCCACCTCAGGTTGGCCTAGAGGAGATTATAAGTGTGGCCTTGAGTGGCCATGAGCTGGCATGCAGGCATTTCATAAACATGGTACAAATTTGAAATGTAAGATTAATGATCATTTTCACAGCTATCCGGTTGCATTCCTAATAGTCATTATGTTTGGTTTGTCTTCGCCCACCTTTATAAGATGTTCAGTTCACTCCGCGACAGTCTGTTATGTTATCAGTCACAGTAGTTACGTGTGCTTTTCTGTTATGACCCTTGTATTGCATTAGATCCCCAAATCCCAAGTGAATCCATAGCTCCGAAGTAGTTCACTGAAGCATAAAAGCAGGGATGAACATAGTAACATCTGTACTACAATTTAGGATAGACTTACAAACTTAAGTAGCAAACATGATTCTTGATACAAATATAGAATGTGAATTTGTATGTCCTTAGACAAGAGAATTTTTTAGTTTGATGCTTTTTCGCAAGCAGCTATAAAAGAAAAATTGGACAGGTAATATGATGAATATCTGAGAGTTGGATTTTATTAAACCAGGAATCCATTTCCTTCTATCCTCAGTGCATTCTTTGTAATGAAACGATGTCAAATAGCGGCATGAAACCATCAAAGCTTCATGTCATTTTTTTTTTAAAGCAGTGACTTATTATGCAAGTGAAGATTTTTCTAAAACAAGTACAAATTCTAATTCTTTCTGATATGAAATGGATTCTTTTTAATTTATCTCTAAAAAAGGGACCAAAATTTGAACCAACAAGAAGCACTCGTCATGCAGATTGCTGAGAAACTTGTAAAATCATCCATAAAATTAATGACAAGTATTATGCCTGGAGGAGGAAGAATAAAGCAAGCTATTAGCAAAGTTTCCTTATTAAGAGAAACTGGAGGCTAGCCTATGTCGGTGGCACAGTGTGGGCAAGCATGTGTAGTGGCAGATATTTCACCTTTTGTTGGACAGCATCGCTGCCGTAAAGAGAAGAAATGAGTTCTTGGCACACATGTAACACATGTAGATGAGATAAAGTTCTTGACAACATTTTGGTTTGTTTATCACTGAAAATCTGTTCCACGGGAGAGGAGGGTTTTTGTTTGTTTGTTTGTTTTTGTCATTTAATAATACTTTTGTGAGCTGATCTAGACTGGCAAAGATGAGTGGGATGTGAGTGGCCAAGAAGGGTGTTGTTACCTGATTAAAAGAAAGTGAACCTGAGTGTCAATCCACATCCTGCTTTGAGAACAGTTGGTAGACAGCCCTCTAATCTTGATTCAGTTTTAAGGGAACAGTGAAAACGATGAATGTATTTAATTGGCAACAACAGAACATATGCCATCTCAATGGGCAGTGCAGAAAATAGGCAAGTCCAAGACTGCTTTTGCTGACCAAAGTACTCAGGTTGTCGGGGGGATAGGTGTCCACTTAAGTTTTGGAATTAGAAATGAAATAAAAACTTTTCTTCAGGACCCTGAGGGACATCAGTATAGGACATTTCTGTGTTTTCAAGTGCTTTGCTCAAGGATTGTATTTTCATAAAACACTCAGTATCTTGAATAGCCTGAACCTATCGCCTTCAAGTCAAAACATCGTGATATTTAATGTTGAGGATAAGATGTCAGGATTTTTAAAGACCAAACTGTGGAATAAATAATTCTACAGGAGTGTGTCTCCTATCAGTTGGTGGTGATCTTTATTCATCAGCAAAAATAATTAATGATGCATTACTTGGCATATGCAACCACCATACAGTGGTCCAGCAGAAAATGAAGACGTACTTGCCAGGCCACATGCAACCAAAGAGCAAAGCAGGTGACCGTCTGTTGCTCGCTCCAACTTCAAGCATCTGATGTTCTAGCTTTGGGGTGCAACAGCCTAATCAGTTTCGTCAGAGAGAAATTGTCCCATAATTTTCAAGCCCATGTTTGGTTAAAGACTCATGATATTAAGCAGAACCACCTGCTATCATTCCTAACACTAATTTAGCTTTGAGTTAGCATTGTTGAGTAGTAAAAAATGTAAGAAACCCTGACTTGTCATGGCAAGCAAAGACCTAGTTTTGACAGGTGAATTACTTAGAATTTGGAGTTTGTTATGTGGGAGGCTCTGCATGGTTTTTGAATATGAAATCCTCTTCCCTCTAAGCCAGCGGTTCTCAACCTTCCTAATGCCGCAACTCCTTAATACAGTTCCTCGTGTTGTGGTGACCCCCAACCATAAAATTATTTTCGTTGCTACTCTATAACTGTAATTTTGCTACTGTTATGAATCGTAATGTAAATATCCTTTTGTTTTCCGATGGTCTTAGGCGCCCCCTGTGAAAGGGTCGTTTGACCCCCAAAGGGGTCGTGACCCACAGGTTGAGAACCGCTGCTCTAAGAGGACTGAAAAAAACTTGGGTCACTCAAGGTGCTGATTTCTGTCATTGAGAAAGTGGAAGATGTAAGCCCTGGCCTTCTCTTGTGGTCCCTGTAAGACAAGAAAGCTGCAGAGTAGCTAGCTCCACAGCTGCTAAGAGTGGGGCGTGCCCCACGTTCTTTGTTACCTGAACGTGGCCTCCTTCAGGCGAGCAGCCCGTGGGGGCTGGTTTTCCCTAGGGGTCTAACTAGGAGCATGCGATTGGTTTTGTGAGAACCCAAACTGAAGTATATATTTTTTTTATTTCTCCGCCACAGAAACTTGCCTTCATGGTGTCTCTAGGGTTGGTAACACATGACCATCTAGAAGGTAAGAGAAGATACTCGTGACATTGTCTTTCTTGTGACCCAGAGCTTTGTTCTTGAAATGATTGGTGTCTGATTGTATAGAAATAGAATAGAAAACTGGAACACACATAGAGCATAATTTAATCAGTGTGGACTTTATTGCCCTTCGAGTAAAAATCACATTCCGTCTGCCTCCCCTTCCTATCATTACGTGTTCCACTACTGTCCTGCGGAAACCATCCAGTTGCCTGGATTAAGGTGACTTCTGCTCACTTAGGAAGAACTCCTTTTTATTCCCTTGGAAGCATGAAGCAGCAAATGCCCCTCTGACAATCATTTATCTATATTTTTCAGTCACTCTAGGTTATCGGAACTTTAAAAATAGTTACAAAGCTATACCTGTCATGAATATTTAATTCAAGAATAGTGAACTGTGGTTACTCACTGTGGATCAGGGGTTGGCAAACTTTTGAGACAGAAGAGCCATATGCTTTGGGAACGTGCATGTGGCTCTGAAGTAAAATTGAAAATGAAAATAAAAACTATCATAGTTTCATTTATAAAATTTTTAAAGGCTATTATTCACTTCATGGTGATTATGTAAAAATATATTTATGGCTCTCGAATAATTTTTAAATTGTGAGGGACAGGATTGGCTCTTCCAGGGGTTGGCAAACTTTTGAAACAGAACACACCCAACGAGCCGTGGGTGACTCGCGAGCCGCAGTTTGCCGACCCCTGCTCTGTCTAGATCTATGGGTAAAGTTCATCCACACCGATATTACAGTGATCTAAAAATAAACCAGGACACCTTGTTGACTAGTGTGCTCTGCTGTTAAGCTCTCAGTCACAGAGCCGCGCTGGGGGACAGCGTGGGTAGGTGGTCCTACATACTTTTGCTACCAACAGTGTGCTTGCCGCTGCTGAGGCTGCAGTGACACGAAGAGACTGGCCCCTGTTTGTAATTGGTCATGGGAAAATTAATAGTTAAAACAATGAAATTAAATTTTTGAGGTTCTCCATACTTCTAATACAAATGTTTTGCTTTCCCAAGAAATCCAAAGCAAGAGGCAAGAGCGAAAAAGAAGAACAACAGCAAATCCAGTGTACAGCGGAGCCGTCTTTGAGCCAGAGGTATTCCTGGCCAGAGCTGGCCCTCCCTCACTGTTCGGTCTTACGTACGACACGCTCAGCACCTCCCATGTGATAACCTGCTTCAGAGCAAGACCCTGATTGTACTTGGCCAGCTTTGCGAAATGATGGATTTCCCCCCGGCTGATCCCATTATCTCACTTTTATTATTCACTACTTTCCCCTTAGTGTTTTTCCTAATTTTGAACAGACACAAACCTACCTTAAACTATTTAACTCACCCTGGCTTCAATACAACTGTCATCTGAGCAGAGGCAGACCTCTCTGGAATATTGTCTCAGAGCCTAGTACCTATAATAAAGCACATTAGCCCGGAGACCTTGGGGTGACTAGCACTAACTAGTGGCCGCGTTGACAGGCCTGCTGGGCTTGGTCTTTAGCTTTGGCCAGTATTAGTAGTAACCATGCTATTCAACCAGTCACCTTTCCTTCTTCAATCCTCAAAGCGTAAGAAGAGTGCAGTCACATACCTGAACAGTACAATGCATCCTGGGACCCGGAAGCGAGGTGAGCACCTCTTTGTCTCTCCCCCTTGCTGTTGCTGTTGCTTCTTTATTGTGTTTCTTTCCTGTCCTTCCTCCCATTGTCCTAGAGCCTAACTCCTAGATCCCTTGAAAATAGTTTTGTTGTTGTCATTCTCTGAGAATGGGGGAAAAGAGAGTGATGTTTCTCATTCGAGTTCTGTATACTGAGCCGAAAGCTGCCTTTCCTGGGATTCCAGCAAAGCTGACTCAGGGGAATGGCCTAGCGCAGCATTTCTGCCCCAGGCCCAGCAGACGTCCCCGAATAGCACAGTGAACAGAACACCGTGTAAAAGGAAGCATTTTAGCATCACTGAGCAGAACAGATCACTGCTGTTGCCAGTGTGCTCTTAGTCCAGGAGCATGACTCTTAAGTTTCTGTGAGCTGCAGGCTTTCCAGGAAGGAGGGAGGGAGCTACACCGGGAACTTAGAATGGATGAGAAAGGGAGCATCCCCAACTCTGGAAGAAAAGGTCACTGTCAAAACAGGCTCCTGAAAACAGGAATTCCTCAAGAGCTGCGTCCCCGTCTTTCCGACCTCCCAGGGCTGGCGTTCCTCCTACTCTTACGCAGGGCAGAGATGACAGCAGCCGCAGTGCTCACTGTGCAGGTCTAATAGGTCCTAATCGCTCAGAGTTTGAGCTCATAAACAAGGTTCTGAAATTGTTCTTTGATGTCAGTAATACATCCCAAGGTCCCTTTCTCCACATGATAATGTGTCCCTGAATTACAGTTCCAGGCTAGAAAGGTTGCAGAGCGAGTGGAATAGCATACTAATTTTTGCGTATGCACACACAATCTCAGAGCTATTGGAAGCTTAGGAGGTCAGTCCGACCCTTTGTCTATCTTGGAGAGGGCTGCAACTATACCATTACCACCTCCTCTCCTAAGGAGATAGCATACGCACAGTTGTGACCCACTCTCATGTTGCATCAGCCCGTCCTTCACGTAGTCAGAAATGTTTAGATGGGAAACCCTGAGTCATTGCTTCGTATCAATTCCTGGGCCACGGTAATCAGTGTCATGGGTTAGTTTTTTTGTTGTTTTCGGCAATTTTTAGTGACTTCTGACACAGTCCTCAGAAAGGAGCCCCCATCTAGAAGCCACAGTTAATTGGCCTGCTGGTGGGCAGTATCTGCTAAGAGGACAGGAGTTAAATGAGCCGCCAGAAAGACCTTGGCATCTCTTGCCAAGGTCAGAGGATGCAAGCCTGTATTCACAAGGCCTAGGATATGCCTTCTGTGGGTAAACAAAGGCCTTTCATCTTCCACTTCTTCTCGCAGCACTAAATTTCCTGGAAAAGACAAACCAGTACGATCTGTCTTTGTACTTCAGACATTGCCAGTTTAACACAGATAGGTAATGTTTGTGTGATGTCGGACAGAATCAGGCCTCCTGTGCATAATTTTGATATAAATTGTAACTGTTGGCAAAGTCGTAATCTGCATACCGTCCACCAGTGCTCGTAAGCAGGTGTATGTCTCTCTGGCTCCTCCTTTTTCTGTGGTGTCCTAGGCATGCACTTCCATTCACTCACAGCTCAGAATCCATGACCCTGATGCTTAGAAGACAAGGAGCCTGACTTAGACGTATCAAGCAAGAGTGGTGGGCTTGGGCTCTCCACACCCATTAGGGCTCCATTATAGGTCCTCTGTGGCCATGAGGTTTGATGCAAAGTGCTCTTGTTCAGGTCAGGTCTCCGTCAGCAGTGCTGCTGATGCTGGCCTTTCCTGAGACTTTCCAGCAGCCCCAGTTCTTAGACATGCAGCTTAGACATGCAGCTCACCAGAAGGTTTGTGGTAGGAAGCAGGGAGACAGTTCTCGATCAACTGGGGAGGGCACCTGAGTCCAGACCTCCTTAAATTCATATGTAAGCTCAGGACATTTTTTTCAGCCCTTAAGGTCTAGCTACTCCCAGAACATAATCTCTCACTAGCTCTAGGAGCAAAGAGTAAGAATAGTTTCCTTGAATTTTGTCTCCTTTCTCCGCCCCCACGAGCAGTGAAACAACCAAAATGTAGGCAGGAGAGAAAAGGAAAAGCAGAAATCCTAAATAAATCCGTTTGTGGGAATTGAGATCATTAATATTATTGTGAAAATTATGGGTGCAGAGAAACATGAGAGAACAAATATGCAAAAGACAGGGAAAAAGAAACTAAATTCTTATTCCTGGCCTTGGCTCCCACCCAGCGCGCTTTGGTTCCCGCACTGGAATCTCAAATTGTGATAGTCCAGGAATGTCCCTGATACCCGCCCCAGGCGAGGCCCTTTAACACGCCCCAGCACCTCCCGTTGTTCTCCAAGGCGCTCTTATCCCCGCTTCTGCTGAGACTCATGCAGTCGTCTCTAATGGCATTTAAAGCTTTGCTTCTCTTCCTCTCTTTGGGACTGTTGTATTAACCTTCTGTCTGCTACCTCACTTCCTTTTCCATGCTAGCCAATGAGGAACACTGGCCAAAGGTATGTAAGACCATTTTCCCCCTTTCTTTCCCTCCCCCTTTTTCCCCTTTTGTTCCCTTCTCTTGGTATATAGGTCGTCCTCCAAAATACAATGCAGTGCTGGGGTTTGGAGCCCTTACCCCAACATCCCCCCCATCCAGTCATCCTGACTCCCCTGAAAATGAAAAGACAGAGACCACATTCACTTTCCCTGCACCTGTTCAGCCTGTGTCCCTGCCCAGCCCCACCTCCACAGACGTAAGTAACTTGGGACAAGCTCACTCATTCTGTGAGCTTAAACTGGGGAAACCGTTATCCTGTGTTGTCTCCCTGCCAGCTGCATCTCCTTGACTAACCCTGGGGCAGCAGTAATCCCCACAGGACACTTTGCCAGTAGGGCAGCTTTCTGCTGGGGCCCCAGGTCCTGCTGTGTCCTTGAGGCTTGTGTTAAACACAACATCAGGAGGCTTAGTCACTTTCCAGAGTCTGGATTTGAAGTACTGCGAATGAGTTCTCAGAAAGGGGGACAGGGCGGGAAGTCAGCTCATGTCATTGAAAGGTGTGTAGGCTTCGCTCATCCGTGTTTTGGAGGTGGGGAAAATGCACAAGGTGTACCTTCCCCTAGCGGTTCTTGTTTCCTGCTTCAATAGAATTCAAGAAGTGGAAAATGTTTCTTTAAATTATCTGTATTCATCAGAGTTAGTCAGAAACAGATCCTGAAAAAAATGTCAGGTACTTAGTAGTCCTTTACCCAGAAACTGCAGGAGTGTCGACTAGTGCCCTAAGTTTTTTCTTTGGCTTTTTTTTTAAAGATTTTATTGGGCAATTGGGGGAGAGGAACAGCGTTAGGGAATCGGGGAAGGGGAACAGACAAGTTGCTGTCCTTTTGTTCTTCGGTCTCGTGGAAGACGTCGCTTCACTGGCCCATGTTGGTATTATCATTGCGCTCTTCCTGGGTGAGGCAGTTGCTCTCTGGCCATTGGACAGCCACTCACGGCAGCTGCCGGCCAGCACCACTGCAGCCTACGCCGTCGCCGGCGACTCACGGCAGCCCAGCTCCAGGTCGAGCTGTTGTTCACCATCTTAGCTGTAGAGGGCGCAGCATCACTGGCCCTCATGTGGGATCTGAACCGGGGCCCTGCTGCTCAATGCGGGCGTCCCAAGGCAACTCTTAACCAACGGGCCACTCGGCTGGCCCCTGGTTTGTTGTTTTTTTTTTAAAGAAGAGTCACATGAATATTATTTCACCATTTTGTTTTTTAAGATTTTATTGGGGAATTGTGGAAGGGGAACAGCCAAGTTGTTGTCCTTCAATCTTAGTTGTGGAGGGCACAGCTAGCTCAGCTCGAAGTCCAGTCGCCATCCGGCTGCCCGTTGGCAGCTCGCGGCTGCTCAGCTCAAGGTTCCATGTTCAATCTTAGTTGCAGGTGGGCATAGCCCACCATCCCATTTAGGAGTCGAACCGGCAACCTTGTTGTTAGGAGCATGTGTCCTCACCAGCTGAGCCATCTTGCACCTATTGGCAGCTCAGCTCGGGCGCAGCTCACTGGCCCATGTGGGAATCAAACCAGCAACTCTGTTGCTCAGAGCTTGCACTTTTAACCAACTGAGCCACTCGGCCGGCTGGTGCCCTAAGTTTGTAAAGGAGCATTTACAAAGCAGTGCATTCACTCAAGTGCTTATTGAGTGCTGCTCTGCTGAGTCAGCACTGTTCTCGAGGCTGGGGACAGAACAGCCTCCCTGCCCTCCAGGAGTTCATATTGCGTGGCCAGAGGCCGGTGATAAGCAAATGAATATGTAACATGTCAGGTAGTGATGAGTGGTATGAAGAAGAGTGGGCCAGAGTCAGGGGCATGAGGAGTTACGGCAGGAGGTTGCTCTTCTATGAAGCGGGGTGAGAGACGGCCTCTCTGATAGAAAAGGGAGTATGTGGGGGGAAGAGCATTCTGTGCGGAGGGAACAGCAGTGCAGAAGCCCTGAGGTAGAAATGAACGTGGCATGGAAGGAAAGCAAGAAGGCCAGGACCGCTGGGGCAGGGAGCAGGTGAGGGTGGTGGGGGGTGGGACCCCAGAGGTGGCAGGGGTCGTTGTGCAAGGCCTTGTGGCTTTTACTCCTAAGTGAAATGGGAGACCCCTAGAGGGGTTTGAGTAGAATAGGGACGTCATTTTTTAACTTTTTATTTCGAAAATTTTTCAAACCTACGGAAAAGTTGTAATAATACAAAGAACAAATGTATACCCTTCACCTAGATTCACCAGTTGTGACCATTTTGCCACCTGTGCTCTCCCCCCTACACACACACACATGCACACACCCTGATATAACCACGATGCTGTTATCAAATTGAGGAAATTTAATATAAAATATTATATAATATATAGTTCATATTTGGATTTCTCCAATAATTGCCTTCGTAGCATTTTTTTTTCCCTGCCCCAGGATCCAACCCAAGATCACTCTTGACATTTGTTGTCACGGTATTATCTCTTCAGTCTCCTTACTGTCCTCTGGGACACTTTCTCAGCCTTTCTTTGTCTTTCATGACATTGATGTTTTTAAAAAGATAAGCCAGTTGCTATGTAGAGTGTCCATCCATTTCGATGACCTTGATTGTTTCCTCAAGAATAGATTTGAGGTATGCATTTTTGTGGGAACACTAAGTAAGTGATGAAGTGTCCTCAGGACATCACAGTAGGAGGCTTGTGTTGTCCGTCTGTCCCGTTGTTAGCGATGTTAACTTTCATCTCTTAAAATAGATTCCATCAAATGTCTTCACTTGTAAAGGTGCCTATTTCTTCTGGTGGAAATAGCTTTGAGCTGGTATAATTCTCCAGTTCCCCAACAAACTGCTACCTAGTGGTTTTAGCATCCTTTGATGGTTCTTGCCTGCGTTTATTATTTTAAGATGTTTGCCAAATCGATTTGGATTTTGTGTGTGAAATCTGGAGAAGAGACTGTGGAGAGGAAAGCAGGGAAGCCGGGAGACCAGATAGGAGGTTGTCGCAGTCGTCCAGGCGAGAGCTGACGCTGGCTTGGCCTAATAGGAAAGAAAAGCAGTGATGGAGAAAAGCAATCAAGCCTGCATCTATTTTGAAGAGCCAGCAGGATTAGATAATGGGGTATGAGAAAAAGAATAGCCAAGGAGGAATCCAAAGCTTTTGGCCTAACCAGCTGGAAGGATGAAGCTGCCATTTACTGGAGATGACAAGAGCTCGGTTTGAGGGAGGAAACCAACAGGTTCATTTTATACACATCCCATTTCTTTTGTGAATTACAGAGCTTGTCTTTAGGGTCATCTTCAAGTAAAATGTCTCTTGATTTGAAGGTTCTCAGTATTTACTAATGGTCTACCCCTCTCCAAAGAGCAAAAGAATACTGAATGCACATCCTGAGTTAAAATTCGAGAAGCAAACAAAGGAGATGTCATCTTTGGAGGGTGGGGTCCTAGAAGAGCTCTGTTCTTTAGCAGGCTTCCTTCCTTGGACACAGATGGTGGCTCACTCTCAAGATTCAGCATTTCATCCAGCTTTCCTGACTGTTGGCATTAATAATTGATTGAGGTTTTCTACCTGTCTTGTTAATTAGCACCAGGAGTTCCTGTTAGAAACCTTGTTTGCTGGCACCAAAGATTGTCCCCACTTTTCCTCGGGTGAAGTATTGCCAAAGGGAGTGACAGTGCATAGCTTCTTGGTAGGGCCCCCCTCAGGGTGCTGCACAGTGCTGGGGAACAGATAGATGATTTTGTGGTTCTGCATGTGAGTTCTGTCCTAAACACAGTTTTTATTTTTTGTGATTTTTAGCTGAGGGGGTTTATAAAGTGGTTTTCTTGAAAGGATCCACTTAGATCAAATCACAAACTGAAAGCTTCCACCAGGTTTTGTCTTAAAATGCAAACACTCTTCTTTTCAGAAATGTAAAGGCAAAAGGAAGCTTTTCTAAAACCACTAAATAGGTTGAGAACTTCCTAGGTTAAACCTAGTGGAATGGACTTTTTTTTTCAAAGATAATTGACCTATACTTTTACAGTATTCCTACAGTGGCAATGATTAAAATCAGCACACAGGTCTCTGTATATTTGCTGCTGGGTGGCATAAACCCCAACAACATTAATTAAGCAGTAACAGTTGAGAGGCAGGCATTTCCTAGCGATCAATAACCATCTAGAAGGCCGTGGTAATACAAGACCCAGCCAGACACTCATCCTCAGGATGTTCCTTGTTGCCGCGATCATCATGTTTATGAGAAAGGAAGATATGTTGACATAGTTATAAAATTGTTTAGGCAAAGTTGCAATTGATATAATGAGGGTGTTGCTAAAAAAAAAAACATGCCCTCAGCTCCTCGCAAAGAATCATGGGTCAGCCGTCTTTTAACTTACCATTTGGTTTATGGTAATAATTTGGTCAGTCACCAAAGCCTAAGCTTTCTGACCTGATGTAGCACCTCCGTAGGACTTCCTCTGCTCTCTTTAAGCAAAGAACCAATTCTGTGTGGATGAAATACATATCTTGTCATTTTATATTTATTTCTATGGGCATTAGTTCTCAAGTAGGGTCTGGGGGTCCCTGAGACTCTTTCAGGGGGTCCACAAAATCAAAATTATTTTCATGATAATACTAAAACATTCTTTTTCAATTTTCATTCTCATTCTCCCAAGAGTGAACAGTGGAGTTTTCCAGATACTACATGACATATGATGACATCATCACTGAGGGCTAATGGAGAGTACACTTGTGTGTTCTGGGGTTTTAAATTTTTTCAATACACTATTTTTATAACCTCTTATGATTCTATAATTACTTAAAATTTTTTTAAACTTCTAATACAGTAAAAATCAATATATATAACTCACATAAACAAAACCTCTTTGAGGTCCTAGGTAATTGTAAGCATGTAATAGGGTCCTGACACCATAAAGACTAAGTAAACTGCTATGATAAGGGTCTGTAAAGAGGAAAAGAGGATAGGAAGTTTTTTTTCCTATAGCAGCTTGAAAGAAATTATTTAATTGTTATTTTATGTACTCTCCACATTCCACTTATTTTTTTTTTTAAGATTTTATTGGGGAATTGAGGGAGGGGAACAGTGTTGGGGAGTTGGGGAAGGGGAACAGCCAAGTTGTTGTCCTTCAGTCTTAGTTGTGGAGGGCGCAGCAAGCTCAGCTCCAAGTCCAGTCGCACCACTCAGCTCAAGGTGCTGTGTTCAATTAGTTGCAGGTAGGCGTAGCCAATATCCCATGCAGGAGTCGAACCGGCAGCCTTGCTGTTAAGAGTGCACACTCTATCCCCTGAGCTACCCAGGTGGCAGCTCAGCTCAAGGTGCTGAGTTCAGTCTTTAGTTGTGGACGGGCGTAGCCACCATCTCGAACAGGCAACCTTGTTGTTAGGAGCATGTGCTCTCACCAGCTGAATCATGCTGCCACCTATTGGCAGCTCAGCAGCAGCTCAGCTCGCGGGCAGCTCACTGTCCCATGTGGGAATCGAACCAGTGACCCTGTTGCTCAGAGCTCGCATTCTTGAGCAAGCTCTTAACCAACTGAGCCAGTCAGCCGGCCTCCACCTTCCACTTCTTGATGTTCTCCTTACTCAGTAGCAAAGGAAAGTAGGAAGAGCTCTTTACCCAACAAATCTCTGAATAAGATACTCAGTGGGTCTTATTTACTTCATCACTGATAATTTTTATCTACAGTTCATGTAAAACACTCTCTGAAACCATAAAATTTCTATAAACCTCATAAAGATGCAGATTTACCATATGGGGTTAGGGTTTAAGAAGGACTAGCTCTCTGGAGAAGAGCATCCTTCAGCCTGATATTAGGAATTAAAGAAATCGAGGGATGAAACCTTACCTCTTTCAGCGCCTGCAAGTTGAACCGTTAGGCTGCAGTATTTTTGTACATGTACCGAGCTCCTTTTTTTTACTGCCCAAAGATAACATTTTCTTACTAAGAAAGGTTAAAATCCATCCGCACTCTGATTAGCTTACATCTTTTTACAGCCCGTTTTCTAGGCTGCTGGATATCCTAGTGAATTATAGAGACAGCTTCCTTTCCTATAGAGAGAAATTGTAAGTCTGGGAAGATGTTCCGTCAGCGGTGGTGGTTGAGGAGTGATATCACAGAAAGGGAAAAATTGAGCATTACTGTCGGTATCATTGCTTCCTGTGCAAAATTTCTGAGTTAGGCCTTTTGGCAGAATAGCCTAGAAATAAAAAAACAACACATTGGAAGTGAAAAGGGGTCTGCTCCAAGCTGTGGCCCTGCCTTTGCTGGCTCACCTCTGACATGTCCCTTCAGTCTTCCCTTCCCTGGTGTCCTTGTCACAGGCATTAATCCCATTCAGAGAACAGGCCAGGGATTGACTGCTGAAAAATACCTCTTTAATACCTCTTCTTGGGCTGGCTGAGTGGCTCAGTTGGTTAAGAGCTTGCTCAAGAGTGCGAGCTCTGAGCAACAGCAGTTCGAGTCCTGGCCCGAGCTGAGCAGCTGCTGAGCTGCCAACAGGTGGCAGGATGGCTCAGCTAAAAAAAAAAAAAAAATACCTCTTCTTTTTTCAGTGTTCGCCTCTGCAAATTTTAAGTAGAACTGCATTTTTTTTTCTGATTGTGCCTTCTGTTCAGAGGGCTCCAGCAGACTTAACCTGAGTACCAGAAATCACTGATGGGGGGTGGGGGGACAGACAGGCAGAGTGCACGGGGGCTGCTCTTCTTTTCCCATCGGGTGAAGTACTTTACAGGGAGGAATAAAGCCTCCTGGAATAGAATGGTCCATTGAACAGCAAATGCCAAATACTGGTTTTAAGAGAGAACATTGTCAGTTGTTGCTTTGTCTGTTTAAATTCTTCATATTAGAAAGCTCATATGAGTTTAATTTGCTCCTGACTTAATCTTTTCCCATTTGAACTTTCACTGTATTTTTCTCCCTGAGCAAGCAAAGAGTTTAGTAAAATTCCATTTCTTGTCTGTTTTCTTTCCCAATCCTTCTAAAGTCCCTCCAAAAATGATAGGTAATGAGGAGTGTTTGTGTCATATTGTAGAACACTTTGATGAATGGATTTCAATGTCTTTAAACTTTCTGATTTGTGGGTTGGACTCTGCCAAAACATAATAAATGCTGAGCCATCACCTGTAAAATTAACTTTGGCCTAGGTGACTACAGAGCTTCCCTGTAAAGTCGACTTTAAAATTAAGAATACTTCCCCTGCCCCGGGGAACCTCAGCTGTACGGGGCAGGTGGGGGCTTGTACCGTTGGTAATTACTACTTCTCTTGAATACTCTTGTAACATGTTAGAGGGGGCACAGCTGATTGTCCTAAAACATTTATAGGTATCCAGAAAGTGCATGTTAACATTTACATTTTACCTTTTTGTCCTTTCTCTTACCTTTTCTCTCAATTTCATAGGGTGATATCCATGAGGATTTTTGCAGCGTTTGTAGAAAAAGTGGTCAGTTGCTGATGTGTGACACGTGTTCCCGTGTGTATCACCTGGACTGCTTAGACCCTCCTCTAAAAACGATTCCCAAGGGCATGTGGATCTGTCCCAGGTGTCAGGACCAGGTACTGTGGGGGGTCAGACAGAGTGCAGGCCAAGGAGGAGAAAAAACAGAGTTAGGAGGCCTTCCTTCCCCCTCTAATCTGGGGGAGCGGTGGAGGCTTTTCCCTTTCCCGGTAGTTCTCCAGGCCACATCTGCCCTGTTCACAGCACCACACTCACCACACAGCATCTAGCCCCTGGGAGGGTCTCTGTCGTATGCATGAGGCCGTGACTCCATGAATAACTGGAGAGACCCTAACTGCCTCCCTTTAGTTAAGATGACTTATCTTGTCATTACCTTGACCCTTACTAGTCCATAAAACTCTCTGCCTTATTCTCTAAGAATGGTCCAAACCCAGTATATGGTTTTGAAACTTTTTTGAAAATAAAATGTTTAAATGAAAGTGCTCAATTAATTGTTTAATTCAGATAACAACAGTTTTGCTTTTAACCTGTGTTGTCATCAGGATCAAAGAACTAACTGTAAAGTGCTAGCTTAATATTTTATGGACTTAAAAGGCAAACTTAGAGTCATATGCTGCTTAAAGACAGGGATACATTCTGAGAAATGTGTCGTTAGGCAGTTTCGTCATTGTGTGAACATCGTGGAGTGCGCTTACACACACCTAGATGGTACAGCCTACGGCACACCTAGGCTGTGTGGCAGAGCCTATTGCTCCTGGGCTACAGGCCTGTGCAGCACGTTACTGTGCAAAACAAGACGAGATTAAATCAGCACAAGAGAAAATGATGCCATCAAGAGATATGGTAAACATGAGATGTAACATGGCATACTGCTTTATAGCAAACTTTTCGTTTTTAATAAGTAGAAAGAAGACACTCCAATATAACAATAAAAAGTGTATAGTATGGTAAATACATAAACCAATAACATAATCGTTTATTATCAAGTATTATGTACTGCATGCAACTGTATGTGCTATACTTTTATCTGACTGAGCACAGCAGGTTTGTTTACACCAGCATCACCACAGACACGTGAGCAGTGTATTGCACTAGATGTTACAACGGCTACTTCACTAGGCAATAGGAATTTTTCGGCTCCTTTATAATCTTACGGGACCACCATTATTCGAGGTGTGATCAAACAATATGGTAAATGTTTAAATTAAAAAAAAATTATTACAGTGAAAGACACACTGCCATTAATCCCTCTCAAAATACTCTCCCTCGCTTCGAACACACTTATTCCATCATTCTTGCCACTTTCTGAAACAGTTCTGGAAGTCCTCTTTCGTGAGGTCTTTAGTTGTGCTGTCATAGCTGCCTTGATATTCTGAATCGCTTCAAAACGTTTCCCTTTTATGGCCATTTTGACTTTGGGGAAGAGTCGCACGGTGCCAGATCCGGTGAATGAAGTAGATGAGGATACACCATGATGTTTTTATTTGATAGAAGTTGCCATATACCAGAAGTGATATGTGACAGGGAGCCTTTCTATTGTGATCAAGAGTTATGGTGAATGCTGCTGCTGAGTGCCATCCAACGGAAAGGCCTGGGTCTTCAATATGGGAAGCAGCACGTTGAACCGTAGTAACTGTGTGACAAGTTTCAGCTTGTTTAGTGCAGTCAGTTGGGTGTGAGCTATGGTTGAGAGAAGGTGTGTTTTAAATTATGTGCCATAAATCATCCTCCATCATGACAACGCTCCATGTCACACATCACTTCTGGTATGGTAATTTCTGTCAAATAAAAACATTACAGTGTGTCTCATCCACCTCATTCACCGGATCTGGGACCATGCGACATCTGGCTCTTCCCCAAAGTCAAAATGACCATGAAAGGGAAATGTTTTTTTTTGTTGTTGTTGTTGTTTTTTTTTTTAACCTGAGCCATCCTGCTACCTGTTGGCAGCTCAGCAACTGCTCAGCTCGGGCTGGACTCGAACCGCTGTTGCTTAGAGCTCAAACTCTTGAGCGAGCTCTTAACCAACTGAGCCACTCGGCCGGCCTGAAAGGGAAATGTTTTGATTGAATCGATTCAGGACATCAAGGCAGCCATCATGACAGCACAACTAAAGACACTCACAAAAGAGGACTTCCAGAACTGCTTCAGAAAGTGACAAGAATGATGGGATAAGTGTGTTCAAAGCGAGGGGGAGTATTTTGAGAGGGATTAATGGCAATGTGTCTTTCACTGTAATAATTTTTTTTTAATTTACACATTCACCGTATTTTTTATCACACCCTCTTATAGATGGTCCATTGTTGAGCAAAACATTATGTCGCACCTTAACTGTCCCAGCCTCTTCCCTCCTGCTCTGCTTAGTTTCTGATTTCTTATTCTGAACTATTCATGTGTCTTCATGTTTTTATTATAAGCAGTCTTTTTTGGAAATAGACGAAGTATAAATAATAGGTAAATAATCTCAGTGGCTGAGCAGACTTTGAGATCCTGCTCGGTTCTTTGGAATCCTGATTTGAGAGAATGCCGATTTCTCCCTTTTTTTAATCTCAGTTCTCTTCCTAGTGTCTCCCTGATGTAATTGGTCAAGACAGTTCTCTCTACGTTCCTTTTCAGTTGCTGCCTTGTGACCCTCCGATAATTTTCCACACGGGGTCTAGATTATACTTTAGAATTTGGGACTGATATTTAATTTCCTTGTTCAGGCTGTCTTTAAGGGACATAAAAAGCTAAAATTGAGACCAGCAGCCCGTGTCAGATCAAGGATGAAACTTTCAGTGGCTGCTGCCATCATGCAGACTTGCGGCTTGTGCTGGGGGTTCTGGCTGTGGGGAGTAGTTGGGGGTCATGCGGCACTTAAGAAAAGATGGGGACATCCAGGCTCTTCCTCAGCCAGGGTTTAGGTGGCTTGGCTCTTCCTGCGTTGTACCTCATTGTCTCGGGCTGATATCTGGAATGTTACAGTCCAGAATTATAGACCAGGGTTTTGCAACACTGCTACCAAAATCCTTCCTGGATTTTGCCTGCCAGTAGCTACAGACACCATTGCTTGATATGACACAGGGATGTGTATGTATACCTCCTTCTCAAGGTAAAATTCTAAAAATCTTTTCAGATGCTGAAGAAGGAAGAAGCAATTCCATGGCCTGGAACTTTAGCAATTGTTCATTCCTATATCGCCTACAAAGCAGGTAAAGAATTATCCATTCCCCCTTTTGTGTAATCTTCCCTTATTAAAAAAAAATAAAAGTACTGGAAGGCAGTCTTTGCTTTGTTTTCAAAAGGAAATTTGAAAATGAGAAGTTTTTATTGAATGAAGTGGAAAGCTGTGTAGCTATTTCTTGGGGAGGAAAAATGAGAAGTAGATCTCGTTTATGTAAAGCCAGGCTCAAGCCACTGACAGCTTTCTTAGCGTATCTGTACATGAAAAGGAGAAAGTCCAGGTGGGCAGTTCTGTGACTGGCTGTGGGGTTCATGGGGAGCCGTGGGGCTCGGGGAGCTTTGGAGAAAATATCTTCTTTGGTGGCAATCATTGTGAACACAGTGGCCTTTTCAAAGAATTTATTGTTAAAAAGTTCCTTTTTTTTTTTCAGCAAAAGAAGAAGAAAAACAGAAGTTACTTAAATGGAGTTCAGATTTAAAACAAGAAAGAGAACAACTAGAGCAGAAGGTGAAACAGCTCAGCAATTCTATAAGTGTAAGTAAACCTCATGCCTTCGAGGATAGATACAGAAATACAGAACTTTCCACGTACAAAGCAGTACATGTGGCTTCCAGGGGCTGATCCGGGTCCTTCAGTTTATTAACACAGTTAACTTGGGCAGACGTGAAGTTTGCCTCCAGTCAGAGCTGGCCCTGGGGTGCAGGTGCCTTCGCCGAGCTCTGCAGCGTCCTCTTGGCTTTGATCTGAGAGAGGATTTTCATTCTCCAGGCGGAGGAGGTAGAGTAGCAGCTACAACAGCATGGCCACCACCCCTGTGTATTCCTGAGCATGTTTGGCGGCAGCCTCGTGACACTGGGCACACATAGACCAGGTCCCTGTGCATGATTTTTTCTGTCGCCTGAGCCGGTGGGTCTGTCCACATGGCCCTTCCCTCCCGTCCACACCATGCTGATCACATTTCTAGGTTTTCCTGACCAGCCTGAGGAAGGGGGTTTTCTAGAGACAAGCAATGGAAGTAAATACCGCCCAGCCTGCCCTGTCCAGGTGGGAAAGAGGGTCGTATTTGCACCAGGGATTTGGAGGCTCCTCCCAACAGGAGCAAGCTCTTCTCGGTTGAATAGGTGTCCCTTGTTGGAGTGAGGTGGCCTCAGCCCTTACAGGCACCAGCTGCTGTCCTTCCCACCACACTACCCGCGGCACCTGGGGTTCATGTCTCTTTCCCTGCCTGGAACAGAAGCTAACTGGTGTGGGAGGCCGAGGGCAAAAGGGCAAAAGACAAGTGACCGAGCAAAAGGGGTTCTGTGGGCTGCAGTCTTTGATTCTCCTGAGTCGCTGTCCCGCCCCAGGCTCTCTCTCTGAATTCTTGCTTGCTGACTGAGTGACCCTCAGTAGGCCCTCCATTGAATCCAGGTACCTACCCCCTGGCTCGTTTTCTGCCCTGGACGGCTCAGCTCAGCTCAGTCCATCAGCCCAGCGGAAGCAGACCAGAGCCTGCCCAAACCAGCTCCAGCACAGCTGTGGGAGCTTTGTTTTTAAAATGACTTTTATTCCATCATATTGTAGTGGTCTTTCACCTTTGGTTTTAAGTCCTAGAGTCCAAACAGTTGACTTCTGAACCGCTCACTTGCGCCCGCCCTCTCTTGCCTCTTGGGCTTCCTCCTTCCCTCGGCTCGTAGCCCAGAGGCCGAGGGGCTGCGCACTAGGCAGGGCGGATTCTCTTACCTGGAGAGGCCACAGGGCTGTCGGAAGCCCCGCGGGCTCAGTGCCACTGTCCGTCTCATTTGCTGCAGAAATGCATGGAGATGAAGAACACCATCTTGGCCCGGCAGAAGGAAATGCACAGCTCCCTGGAGAAGGTAAAACAGCTGATCCGCCTCATCCACGGCATAGACCTCTCCAAACCTGTAGACTCTGAGGCCACTGTGGGGGCCATCTCTAATGGCCCGGACTGCACCCCCCCTGCCAACGCCACCACCTCCACGCCGGCCCCCTCCCCCTCCTCTCAGAGCTGCACAGCGAACTGTAACCAGGGCGAAGAGACTAAATAACAGAGCCCTGCCAGGAGAAGCCACGGGGTCCCGGCAGCAAGGAGAGCGAAACACTGAAGACTCTAGAAAAGCAAAGCCGGATTTCTTCTGGAAAGTACAGAATTCTTTTGGTTCTTTGGTTCCAGAGAGAGAGAAGATGCTTGTGCCAGGTGGCACCAGAGTTTGCCAATTGATCCTTCTTATTCTGTGTGTACATGCAAAGATTGGACCATGTTACATGAAATAGTGCCAGCTGGAGGTTCTTTGCCAGCACCATGCCAAGTGAAATAATATATTTACTCTCTCTATTATACACCAGTGTGTGCCTGCAGCAGCCTCCACAGCCACGATGGGTTTGTTTTTGTTTTGTTGGGTGGGAGCAGGGACGGGCCGAGGGAGGAGAGCAGGTTTCAGATCCTTATTTGCCGAGCCGTTTGTATAGGTAGAGGAGACAAGTCCAAAGAGTGTGTGGGCTTTCCTGTTTCTCAACTTTCACTACTATAAAACCAAAAAAAGGAAATTGAGATTTAAGCAACCCCAGTGCCCAGAGGAGGGATGGGGAGGGAGCGGGAGGGAGCCGGGGTGGGAAAAGTATATCAAATAAGCAGTATTTCTCCTTGTCTGGGGTGGGGCACAGTGCACGGAGAGGGGGACACACCAAGGACAGCCGCCGGGTCCTTCTCCCCAGCACTCCGCTCTCCCGCCGTGGGCGCCCCCCACCACTCCCAAACTTCCTTCCCTGCTTTGGCAAATTGGTGCGCGTCCGCGTGGATGGTCGGGTTTCCTTCCCTCTCCAAGAACAAGCAGAGCCAGGTGCAGCCGGCCCTCAGCCCAGGGCAGGGAGGAAGGGTGTGTGTGTGTGTCGAGGAAGGAAAAAAGGTGGATCAGTGATTTTACTTGAAAACAAGCTTCATCCCTTTTCTATATTTATAAGAAGATCCTGAGCGAAGCAGCACGCGACCCAGGTGTGTGTGAATTGAATGGAGACATTTTTTTTTTTTTTAGTTTTTGTTTTTGGGTTTTTTTCTTTAAAAAAAGTTTTATTTTGTTGTTTATTTTACTTTTTTGGTAACAAAAACTAAAATAAGGAATAGAAAAGCTGTTTTTCAGGCTGACAGTCCAATTAAGGGTAGTCGAGACCTTGCATGGTAGAATAGGAATCATAGTGTCAGTGAGGTCCAGTGAGTGTGTGTGAGTCCTTGTGTCATCGTTCGGGGCACTGTTTTTTTATGCAAGGGCAAAAATCTTTGTATCTGGGGAAAAAAAAAAACAACAGCAACTTTTTTTTAAATTAAAAAGGAAAATAAAAGATATTGAGGTCTTCCTAGTGTTACTTAAATTAAGATCAAGGTAAGCAACATTGTAAAAAATTACAAAAGTGCTATTTGTTTCCTAAAAACAGTGATTTCTATTAAAAAGGTGTCAGAACTGGAGAAAATGCTGTGTAGTTATAATTTTTTAGCACAGAACCTACTGATCATGATGACGTTTCGCTGTGTTTGTGTCTCAAGACTGGTGGGCTAGCCTCCATGATTTCTGTCCTCTGAAGGCTGCCCTGCCAGGCAGGGGCAGAGCCCTCCCACCATTCTCACCTCCTCGGAGAAAGATTGCCCTCTCTTCTTGGTGCAGGGCTGGGCTCCTGTTTTTGAAGCCCAAAGGGAGCGTGGATGGTATCAGGGCCCTACCCGTTGTCCCCTCGGATTTGATTAGAGCAAAAGGCTGGTGCCTCGATAAGACCCCTTCCTTTGGTGCTGCTCTCGGCCTTTCAGTCACCAGCATTTTGAGTGCCTGGGGGACAACCCTGAAGGAAACGGCCAGTGAAGCTCATTTGGTGCCCATGCACCCTGGCCTTCCTGGGAGGGTGCAGGGGGCAGGCTGGCTGCATCAGCCCTTGGTGCTTAGAAGGAACGAAGGAGTGAGATGTCTTGAGGGGTACGTGGTGTCTCTGAAACAGAGTGCCGCAGGGTGGCCTTTGTGTCTGTCTTGCCGTTCGAGAGTTCTGAATCTCCAGCCCCTTTCTCTGCCTGCTGGTCCCAGGCACTCGAGATGAAGTTCACTCTACTTTTCTCACCCGCACGATTCCCGGGTGGCCTGTGGCTAGAATTGCTGTGCCTGCCTTGGCTTAGCCAGTCTCCCTCTTGAGAAAACCAGGGTTCTGAAAGGCTTGGACCATTTCTATCATCTTGCCTTGTAGGAAATACATTTTGTCAGGTGTGTGCTCCCGCTGGAGTCCTTTACCTGTTTGCACACCTGGCCAACAGGCGGGAGACGGAGGCTCGGTCCCCCGGTCCCCCCAGAGCATCTCCCCCAAGCCCAGCCCATGCCTCCTAATGGCCAGAGTCTAGAAGGGGCAGAAAAGGTCCCATTAGTTCCTCCGTCGCCCGGTTAGACCCAGAGAGACCAAGATGGATCCTGAGAGCCAATGCAACAGAGACACTTCTGAGGTTAAATATGTCTCATCTCTGCCAACGGTTTCCGTTCATCTTCCCAGGGAGATTACAAAAGGAGAGTAAGAGTGGCTGCACAGGCCTCAGAGTCGGCCCTGGCTGCAAGGTTGCCTGAGGGGACAGAGAGGAGCTCCCTTTCTCATGCAGAAACCAAGGTGCTATGTCTAGTCAGGGAGCTTTGGAGATGCCTGGACTGGTTGGAGGAATGGTTGGCAGAGGTTCTGAGCCCAGCGGCAGGCTGTAGGCCCTGTCTCAGCTCTCCCGTTCGACTTGTCTGGGCCCAGGCGCTGGGGGGTTGCCACACAAGACCCACCTCCTTGGAAGAAGTTGGGAAACTAGCATCGCTAGAGGCCTTCGCTCAGAAAGGGGCCGCCTGAGGGTTCTTGGGGGTGGGAGCAGGGGTAGGACCTGACCAGGGTTTGCCTGCTGCTGTGAGCAGGCCCACTCTGACCTTGCCAAAGGTTGGGGTACGGATTCCCCCTGAAGTTCAGATATGAGCCATTTGGGAGTCAGCTAGTATGGAGTACAAAATGCAACCCTGCCCCAAACCCACACTCTGGACTCAAATTACAAAACACTCCTTAACTGCAAAGAAAAGGCCCTAGAGACCCCATCTCCATTTCCTTCGCTATCCTGACAAAAGAAGACCCTCTCTCTGTCCCCCCACACCTGTGGGTGCCTGTGACCACCTGAGACACACACTCATAACTGCCCCACCCGAGCCGCCTCAGCCTCCTCTCCGTTCTTCCTTCTGCTGCTCTTCCCCCACGCCCACGTTTAGCCGCAGGTTGACAGCCGTATGTGAGACCAACTGGCTTTGCAGTCACTTCAGAGGCCAGGGAGCTGCCCACCTGGCCCTGGATCAGGAGGCGCACTGTCAGGCCCAAGGCTCAGGCGCGTGCCCCGGAGGCAGTGAGGTCATGTTGCTGTCGTCTTCCCTGCTCTGCTCACATTCTTGCCAATGTGGCCTGCAGGTCCTTTTTCTTTCAGGGAGCCTGCCGGGTCTTGTCTCACCTCTGCTGAGCTCATCTGGAGCTCTGCTTCTTCCTTATCAGGCCCTTTGGGGCAAGCTTACTGGTTGTGCCTGGCAGGGAAGCCTGCGTGGGGCCTGCATCGGGGCCGGCAGCCTCCAGCTGGCACCATCGGAGTGCCCGGTCTCCCTGCGGGGCCTGCCTCCCTGTCCGTACTGCTTCTTGGCTCAGGCCCAACAGGTGGCATGAAGGGGCACAGTTGCTCCCCCCACGCCTCTGCCCTGAGGGTGACCATGTTTCCGGCTCACCTGCCTCTGTGTGTAGTTGCCTCTCCGGCCATCTCAGATACTTCCTCTCTTGGGCCCAGCAGAGCCTCCTTGGGCTCGCACTCCCAGCTCACACTCCCAGCTCACACAACACATTCTTTAAGTGGTTTCCTCCCCTTTAGGGTGTGGTCTTTCTTCTTTATCCAAAGGGCTTAATAGGAGACTTTTACCCCAGGGGCAAAAGGCTCTTCGGGGTAGTAGGATGGATAGTGGCCCAGGTACATTTTTCAAACCCTGGGTTCTCCGGATTCCATGGCTTCTGTTGGATGGCTGGAGGCAACCTTGCTCTGTGTAAATGACTGTGGGCCTCACCCCCACCCCTCAGCTGGGCACCCTTGGCAGGAAACAGGAGGCCCATCCTCACCCTGACTTACAGCCATCCTCAGTGTCACTTCTCACAAAGAAGGGAGGGGTGGCCCCTGAGAAGATTCCTCTGGCCCTCCCACAAAGGAAGGTGTGGAAGCCAGGAGTTACCTGTTCCAGAGAGCCAGGGTGGAACTCAATTAAAAACAGCCCTTGTAAAGGGAGAGCTGGGCTCACAAATCCCACTTGGCTCCCCCTTTCCACAAGGCCCTTCTGGAACCCTGAGGACTCTACTATCCCCTACAGCAGCCTTTGGCCCCTGCCCCTCCCTCCAGTGTCAGTTGGGTCTTCAGCCCAGGGTAAGCTGCGGTCAGGCAGGACAGGATGGGCAGCCAGAGGTCAGCACGCTCTGAGCAGAAGAGCCAGCCAGCCCCCAACCTGTTCTCTTGTCCGCGCCCTTTGTGATTTCAGTCTTGGTAGAACTTGTATTTGGAGTTTTGTGCTTCAAAGTTCTTGTTTTTGTTTGTTTGATTTTTGTTTTGAGGGGGTGGGGGGGGATACAGAGCAGCTGATCAATTTGTATTTATTTATTTTAACATTTTACTAAATAAAGCCAAATAAAGTCTCTCAGACTCATGGTGTTGGGTTTGGGGCCAGGGAGGGTGGGCAAAACACACTCCAGTCCAGACTTCTTGGGGGGGAGGGCCCGGGTCCTCCTGCGACTCCAGCAAACATTCAGCAGCTCCCAGGCCCACAGACACCCTCATGCCCCAAACCAAGAGGAACATGAAACAAAGTTTTTAAAAACTTTAATTATGAAAAAGGGATGTACAGCTGAGGATGGGGGCACTAACCCCAAACCAGCTGGGGCAGGAGACCCCAGCCATAGAATAGCAGCAAAGGGGAGCCCCCATGCCCCACCCCACAGATGCTCCACTGCAGCCCTTCCCACAGAGACCTTAAATAATTTAAATAACGGAGGGTGGGAGAGGTGGCAGGTTGCTCCAGTGTCTGCAGGGAGTGTGTGTGAGCTTAGGCAAGGGGCGGGGGGTGAGCCTTAAGAGGTCAGGCAGAGCCTCCAGGCTGCTGCAGGGCAGTGAGGTATTTGAGGGCAGCAGCCCCGTAGTGGCGAGACAAGTCCTGGTGGAACTCCTCCTTGAGGGCCTGCAGGCAGTCCCGATAGGTGGGGCTGGAGCGGAAGCGGGAGATGTCAAGGCTTGGGGTGTGCGGCAGGTGGATGGTGAAGGCCTCGGGCAGCACCAGGAGCTCATATTCCTGTGGGGGTAGGGGCAGACGGTCGGTCATTGCCTGGGCTGGGGGAAGATTGCAGCGCTGGGGAATGGGGAGCAGGTGTCTCCAATAGACTCTAAGAGCCAAAGCCAGGGCCAAAGGGCAGCCGAGTTTAGTCCTACGGAAGGGCGGAACTTCTGATAGTGCTGCCAATGGTGCGTTGTGCCACACAGACGTGGTGAGCTCCCTGGGCCTGGAGATACTCAAACCCAAACTGGAGGCAGGAAGGATCGCCCTCACCTGTGCATCCAACTCCACAATGTGGGCCACCTTGTTCCAGCCAAAGCCCACAAAGCGGGGGTCGTAGCGGGGACAGTCACGTGGCACCACCACGTAAGGCTCATAATCAGCTGCCCATTGCACGCGGTACGGGGCCTGAGCCTCCCGCCATCGGGCATAGTCTGTGGGCGCGTAACCCCGGGGCCACTCGTGGTACCTGTGGAGCAGGACAGGGCAGGGAGCGAGGCTGAGGCTGGGAGCTCGTGGGTGGTGGGGGCTGGTGTAGGGAGGAAACAGGGACAGAGCAGTGGCCTCTCCTACCTGAAGGTGTAGAGAGAGCCATTGTCCAGCAAGGCCAGCAGCTCGGCCTTGGAACTGGGGAAGCTAAAGTGGTAGTGCAGGGTCTCAAACGCGGGCACCACCAGAGCTGCCTTCCGCTCACTGCCCAGCTCCAGCTGCTCGATGGAGGCCCTGAGGAGGGAGCACTGTGAACTGGAGGCAAGGGAAGGCTCTGCCTCCAGCACTGGACACAGCAATTCTCTTGTTTTTGAGCCACAGGACCCGATTTTCAAAGGCTAGCTCACCCTGACGCCGACTAGAAAACAGACACAAGTGGAGCTGCTGTGGGAAGCAGGCCCCAGCCTCCCCTGCCCTCTGATGGCAGCCCAGAGAAAGTGTGGTCCCCAACCCTAATACAAGGACCTTGAGGCCCAGAAAGGAACGGGGACACACTGGCCTAGGGTCCTGCAGGTGCCTCCCAGCCCTGCCCACACCCACCCACATACCATTCCTCACTCCCACCCACCTGAGGTAGTCGTAGAGGGAATAAGAAGGCAGGAAGTCAATGTCACTGAGGAAGACGTACGGTGTGAGGGCCTGGGCCAAGGCCACGTTGCGAAGCTGGTTAATGGGGTAGAGGGGACCCTCGCGGTACACCACGTGGTAGGCCACATTCTGCCGGGCAGAAAGCACCGCCGAGGCCTCGACGAAATGCAGGAACTGCTGGGCCTCTGCGTCTGTCAGGTACAAGGCCAGGCTCATGGGGCCCGGCCAGTGCCTACACAGGGCTTCCAGCATCTGCAGCCTGGGGTGAGGGGTATGGTCAGCCCAGGGAGAGCTGGAATACCTCCCACGTTAGCTGCTGCAGACACCCAAGTGTCTTACTAAGCACCTTCCAAGCGCTTTTTGAGCTGGCCTTATTTAATCTTCACAACTACCCCACCAGGTGGGTACCTTCTCATTTGACAGATGAGAAGACAGAGCCAGAGATATTAAGACGTGCCCATGGTCTAACAACTACACAAGGCATCTAAAGGATTCCCAAAGCCCAAGCTCTTTCAACCATATCCAGTGTCTCCAATCTCTGGAACTCCTCAAGCATCAGGCACTGAGCGCTCTTCCTTCTACAAATGAAACCCTCCTCTCAAAACGCCCAGTCTCAGCCCATGCATGCCATGCTCTCTGGGGCTATCTTCAGCGCCCTCACCGGTCCATGGAGAGCTGGGCCACAAGGGTGACATCGTGGGGCCGGGGGGGCGGTGGTTCATGGGGCAGGAAAGTGATATGCACACGGTGCACAGTGAGCTGCTGCTGCCGGAACTCAAAGCAGGCATCTTCCTCGCTGAGTTGTGCCAGGGCCCGCTGCAACTGAGGGGGTCGAGGGGAGAAGGACCAGACATGGGGCAGCATCAGTCCCCAGACCAGGCTGGGTCCCACCAGAGCAGAGAAGGGCAGAGTGTCCCCATGGCAAGGGAAGGCTGCTCCCTCTCACCTGCTCGGCCTCAGGTGAGGGTGGGCTGGGGCACCCAAAGAGCCCTCTCCGCAACAGATTCCCATCATACTCCAGGAAGGTCAGGTAGAAGTTACGGAAGAATTCCACGTGCTTGTTCTTCACGCGCAGCTTCTTTGGCGAGTTCCAGTGGATCACCTGGGACCCAGGAGGGTGTCAGTGGGGGAATGGAAACAGGACTGCCATCTTTGGCTCACCACCACCACCACTCAGCGCCCCCACCTCCATTCACCTTGAGGTCAGCCGCCTCCGAGTAGCAGCGCTCCGCCAGCGTGTGGTCCGACAGCTGAACGTTCCAGACGCAGGGCAGGGGCTGCACCAGCCCCGGGTGGCCCTTAATTACGGCATTGAAGATGTCCTGGGCAGAGACAGCCATCTCACCTCAGCCCTGAGCCTGCCCCACCCCCCTCAAAAGCTCTCCCAGACCTGGTCGGCCAGTGAGGTGGCGGGCAGGGTGAGGAGCTCCTGCGTAGCTGTCAGCTTCCACATCTGCTCCCAGCCAACCTGCCGAAGCCGGTCCAGCCGCAGGAGGATCACACCTGCCCACGGGAGAGGGTGTCATGCCCACCTGGGACAACCCAGCTCCTGGGGTCAGGGTTCCTAAAGGTGTCTTTTGAATGTTTCTTTTTTGACTTACTGGTATTTTCTGACTGTCAGATATGAGCATGGACTACCTCTGTCAACAATCAACCCTCTTGGGGGTGAAGGGGATGTACAGCACAGCTTACAGAGCACCTCTACAGCCATCTTCTCATACTTGGTGATCCCGGGGCTGGTAAAAATCCCCATTTAATGGATGAGAAAACTGAGGCACAGTTTTCTTGCCCAAGTCATCCAGCATGTACAGCCAAGGTTGGAACTGTTTTCTGGCTCTTCTCAGTGTTCTTTCCATAGCACTATTCTTCCTGGGGGGCTTCCTAGCATTTTGTGCCCTGCCCAGAGTCCCTGGGGCCCAAGGACCAGTGGCCATCACTTCTGCCTCCCCCCCCACCGTCCCCACCTGTGTTAAATCCCCGGCCCAAGGCAGGCCAGGGCCTGTGGTTCCTCCAGAGGTTGCCCAGGTACCAGTCGCTCTGGTTCTCCACGAGACCGATCACCTGCTCATCTAGGAGGGGAGGCCACGAGGCAGCTGTCTGAGGCTGCCACAGGACCTCCGCTCAGGGCGAGGCCACAGGGGGGGCTTGGATGGGCCCAGGAAGAGGGCTGACAGGAGCAGGGTCCCAGACCTCTCACCAGAAAAATGAGCAAAGAGTGCCCAGAGCTCTGCAATGTCGGAGGCGAAGGTGACATCTGTGTCTAAGACAATAACCCGGGCCAGGTCAGGAGGCAGGGCACCCGGCAGCACTAGCTTCATTAGCCCATAGAGGCCAGAGTAGTGCTTGTTGGGGATCCAGGAGACCTGCGGCTGTGGGTGGGAAGGACCCATGAGTGTCAGATCATACTCAGGGTAACAGGGGAAAGAAGGCGTCAGCCCCAGGAGGGGTGAGGGATTTGAGCTTCAGTAGGTGTGATGGAACTGCGGGTCCCAGACAGCTCTAACCTCTCCTCTCCCTGCCTCCCGGCCACATATACCCTAGAAGGAAGGAGGGGGCGGGGCAGGCTGGGGAGGGGTGCTGAAGGGCCAGGATGCCTGCCTTGAGCTCATCGGCATCGTAGAAGCTGAATCGCACAGCAGGCACCATCCACGTGTGGAAGAGCATCTCCAGGATGTTCCTGGCCACCTCATCAGTCACCAAATGGAGGTGCAGTGGGTTTTTCCTTTGGGAAGGACAGGGGAGGAAAGCTGATAGGGCCCAGAAGGAACAACATGGGACAAGTCCCACCCCAAGAGGCTCAGAAGTGGAAACACCAACTTTGTGATCCTACCCAAGAGTCTGTGTCCTTTCCCACCCCTGAACGCCCCCCACCTCCAACACCTGGCTATACCTGTAAAAGAGTATGGACTTCACCAGGGTGATGACTTCTCGACTGGTGTTATGTCCCGCACACACGATTGCCACGTGCAAGAGCTGGGGAGGAGACAGTGAGGTCAACAGCGGCCCCTCCTCCATTATAGATGGTGAGGACCTACGGCTGGGCCGGCCTGGCCTAGGGCAGTGTAGCCCTACCAGGCTTCCGAGCTAGGGAAGGCGGGGTCTGCGCAAGGGTCCAACCCCTCCCCCCCCTTCACAAATGGGGAAAGAGGACGGGAGCAGGTGAGGTGAGAACCTAACGCGCCTCCAGCTGGCTGGTCAGTGCAGTAGCGACGACACCATATGTTATGATTCCCACAGGTGCTCAGGAGGCCGGGCTGGGGGCGCGGCGCCCCCAGGATTCTCGACACCAGAGGCCGCGCGCACCAACCTCGCACTTAGGAGGCGGCGGCGGCAGCAGCGGGACGCAGTCCGAGCGGTTGTGGCCCGGGTGGTCCACCGACGGGTCTCCGTCTGGGGGGACACGTGGCGTTAGCGCGCAGGGGAAGGATCCCCGGCCTCTCTGCTCGCGGCGCTCACACGCCAGGTCTCCGCCGAACAGGAAGAATCCGATCAGAATCAGCAGCAGCAGCAGAGCGGCGGCCCCCAGCACCCGGGGGCGCCCTCGGGGCAGCATGGCCGCCTGCCAAGGAGCTCAAGGCGGGGTGCGACCGCGGGCTGCGGGCTCCATCGCGGACCCTACAGACGGGGAAGGGAGATTGAACGGTCAGCCTTGGGCAGCCCGGCCCGACGGCCGCCGAGTCCCCTCCCGCACCAAGTCGCCACCTCACCTGCTGCAGCGGCTTGGGCACCCGGACCTTACTCTTCCACAAACAGCCCAGGGTGCGGGGAAAGAGGGGTGGAGACGCAGGCCAGCCCCGTCCAAGCAGGAGCTAGCCCCGCCCCCAACCTGGGTTCAGGTTTCACCTCCGCTTGGCTGAGCCCGAAGGGCGGGGAGACCCCCGGCATCCGACGGCCTTCCCACTTCAGGCCCTGGAGGAATCCAGGAAACCCTCAGGATGGGTAGAAGAAGCGGGGGGCCGCCACCCAGGAAGGCCCATCCCCCTCCTCGCTGCTCTGGGGCCCCATCTCCTCCCTTTAACCTCCCTCCGTGGGAGGGGCCGTGACCCCAGGCCCTGGATGAAAGGGACTGCCGGAGTAAGAAGGAGGGGACTGGAATGCCGGCTCCGGGGGTTGGGGACACCTGCTCAGGGGGGTAGGAGGCGGGGCCGGCCGGCCGGCCGGCCGAAGCTTTCCGTGGAGCCGCGGAGCACCTAAGCCCCGCTTTTCTCTCTGCTCTCCGGTCCGCTCCACCTCCCAACCTACCCCACTCCACCCTACCCCACCCCATCCCTCCGCCCAGTCCAGGTGGCCCAGCCTGGCAGCAGCCCGAGCTCGGCTGGGACAAAGCGGGCTTGTGAGGGTTGCCTTCTGCCCAGGAACTGGAGAAAGGCCTCACTGACAGGGGTGGTCTGGGGCTGCCTGGGCAGGGGCGGAGATCCCCACCCTTGCCTAGACCGTCGTGTCATGGTTGTGCCTGGCGAGGGCCTGGCTCTCTTCCTCTGCCCCCCAACCCCCCACCCCACAGCAGGCAACAACACGGCTTAGCCCTGGAGGGGGTGGGGGGCGCTCTGGACCGTGAACGACAGCCACGGTTGATTGAGCACATGTAATCCGTGCTGGGCCCTGTGCCTTGGTTCCATAAAGCCTCGTCTCAGTTAACCTTCACATCAGTCCCGTAACACAGGCATTATTCTCCCCCAGAGAGTTGAAGTAACCTGTTAGAACACCCTGAAGTTTATTTCCCAGGCTCTACTTCACAGTTTCCTGCTGCTACTCCCTAAGGGTTTCCTTGCTGCCCCTCTGTCTGGATTCTACCAGATTCTCACAAGGCCCACTCCCTTCCTTATTCCTAGCTTTATTTTCTTACTAGCACTTTTCTCATAATTTGACCTCGTTGACTTTTTTATAGCTTGTCTCCCCCCTAGAAGGTGACTGCTCACAGGACTCGGTACCCAGCACCCAATCAGGGCCTGGCACATACCCAGCGCTCAATAAGTATGTGCTGAAAGTGGATGGGACTCACTGGGCCTTGCTGTGACCTGGAAACAGGCTAGGCTGTGCCCTTTAGCCCAACGTCCAGCTATAAAGAGTGAGGGCCTGAGAGGCCCCAACCCCCAAAAAAGCTGTGACAAAGCAGCTCAGCCTGAGACCCCCTAAGTCTCCTCCTCTGAGAGGCCAGGATGCCTTTCTCTGGGAGATGGAGGTCTGCAAGGAAGGCTGGGCTTTGGGCCTTTGGAGGCCAGGGGCAATGGTTGCCATGGAGACTTATGGCAGCTCCTTGTATATCTGGGAATTGAGAGGAGGTGAGGGGATGCAAGGGCCACCCATGTGCCTGGAGCCCCCCTGACCCTCATCTCTAGCCTGGAGCTGGAGTGGGGGTGGGCGAATCCCCCTGCAAGACCCTCAATTATCTGTGTGGGTGGAATGTGATGGAGCAGGTAGGGCACAGCCAGAGCCTGGCCAGGGGGTTTGTGGCGGAAGCTGGGTCTGCAGTGTGACTGTCACTCACAATGCTGGCCCCACCCCTTGCTCAATCTTACCTCTCAGGGGAAATTGAGTTGCTGAGATGCCAGCTGGGCCTCCAAGAGGTTCTTTTGGGGTGTGGAGGAGAAAGGGTGACAGGTATGAGCACATGAAAGGGTGCTCATGTTTTAAGCCTGAGACCTGGTTTGGCCCAGCTCTGCCTAGGACTTTGCTGTGTAACCTTGAATAAGTCAGGCCCTCTCTCTGGGCCTGAGTGTCTTCATCTGTACCTGTTGGACTGGTCTAGCTTTCTTGCTCTGTGGCTCATGGCAGAGTTAAGGAGGGGAGATCCGGACCATTCTGCCCAGAGGCCCTTACAGCCCAGCCAAGTGACCAAATCTAGGCATGGGCCCAGCAAGGTGGAGCTGCCCTGGGCGCCTCCCGAACACACGGCCACTCTTTGTCTCTGGGACCTAATCAGGCCTGGAATCTGGAGAGGAAATTCAGGCAACCTTGCTGCTGCCAACCTGGCTGGGCTCATGATCCCTTCCCTGGAGATAGGCAAGAGAAACAGGCTCCGGGCCAAACACCCCTCATATTCTGTCTAGGGGAGGCTGCTTCTCTATCCTTCATGCCTCTCTCCTCCCCAGAAGCACAAGACCACCAGCCCTGGGAATGCCAAAGAAATGGCATACTCTCCCTCACTACTCTCTCCACAGTCGCAGAGAGAGGGACTGGAGGAATATCACTAGTGAGGTTTGCAGAACAAGTTCATCTTAATGATGGGGTGCAGGCCAGCCGAGTGACGTGTTGGTTAAGAGTTGGCTTGGGACGCCAGCTCTGAGCAGCAGGGCCCCGGTTCGGATCCCACATATGAGGGCCAGTGACGCTGCGCCCTCTACAGCTAAGATGGTGAACAACAGCTTGACCTGGAGCTGGGCTGCCGTGAGTCGCTGGCAACGGCGTAGGCTGCAGTGGGCTGCCGTAAGCTACCGCGAATGGCCCACAGCCAGCGTGAGCAGCCGGCAGCCGGCATGAGCTGCCAAGAGCCGCCGTGAGTGGCTGTCCAGTGGCCGGCGACCCATCTACCTCAGCCGGGAAGAGCGCAATGATAATACCAACATGGGCCAGTGAAGCAAGGTCCTCCACAACTAGACTGAAGAACAAAAGGACAGCAACTTGTCTGTTCCCCTTCCCCGATTCCCCAACGCTGTTCCCCTCCCCCAATTCTCCAATAAAATCTTTAAAAAAAAAAGAAAGATGATGGGGTGCGAGGAGGGAGAAAGAGCCCCGCACTGAATGCCCTGAGCTCTGGTCTTAATCCCAGTTGCTAACTTGACTCATGAGCAAATGGCCTCAACATGTCACTGCTCTTGCTGGGCTGTGGGCAGGAGAGAGGGCACTGCGCTGAGAGACCTGTATTGTGATCCTTTTGGCCAATGCCATGCTGTGTGACCTGGGACATGCTTTCCTCTCCTTGGGCCTCTTATTTCCCCATCTGTGAAAAGGAGTTCATAACAACCTCGCAAGGTTGCTAAGAAGAGTTGAGTACGAGTGAGCCTGGCACCCAGGAGGTGGTCAGAAATGAGGCGGTGATGCCCACTCCCGCCTCCTGTGTTCTCCAAGGCCTTTGCCTTTCTGGAGGCCGCTGGACACATCTCCCTGGTTCTTCATTCCCTGGCCTGAGTAGGGAGGGCAGCTATGATTCCCCACCGGATATCGAAGAAAACTAAGCTGGGGACAGGGCTGGGGGAAGGGAGCGCAAGGAGGGGCTGTGGTTTCCCGGTGAGGTATGTTGCTTAAATCGCCTAGATTCTGTGGTCCAGGATTCGAATCGTGTCTGGGTTTTTAAGCGGATCCTCTCCTCATCTAGAGATAATATCTGGTGGAGGGGATTAGGTAGAATAATTTATTGCTGTTCTCAGGGTACCACAAACCTGCCAGCACAGTCCGGATAGGCGAGGCCCCGCCCCTTTCCCCACAGCCAATCAGCGACTGCCTCCACGTAGTGTCTGTTCCCGCCACCTCTGGCCACCCCTCTCCCGCAGCCGCTCCTTCCAGGAAAGCTCCCTCGTTTGGGAAGGGACCCCCAGGAGTTTCCCCATTCCTTGGGGAGCAGCAAGACTGAGAGGTGCATCCGAGGGCCGAAAAGCGCTTTTAGATTGATCCCGAGTCCAAGGACCAAGTCTGCCCTCAAACCATTTTACAGATGGGGAAGGGAAACCCGAGGCCCAGAGAAGGGAAACTCCCTACTACGGTCACCCCGAGCCGAGAGCAGAAGTTCAGGCCAGGGTTTTCTCCGCGGAAGTGGGAGTGCAGGTGTGCGCTCTTGGGGGGCACTGTCCTTGCGGGAGCGACTACCGAAGCCAGAGCACTAACGGTGTTGGCCGGGGGATCGAGCCTGCGTTGCATGCTGGACTCCTTGGTGCCTCAGTTTCCCCAGCACTGCCTCTGGTGGGGGACGGGAGACGAGGCAGTTGGCCACACGCGCGTCTGCCGAGACACAGTCCGACTCCCCTTAGACTCTCTCGGCTCCTCCCCAAGTCTGATGAAGGATCCTTTCCGCGCACTACCTCCCAACCCTTTAAAATCCGGTCCCGTTCGAGCCTCTCGGCGTTCTATTAAAAAGACTCTAGGCTACAAGGGCCTTCTCTGGAATGAACGGGCTCAGACTGCCGCGGGAGCTTTCCCGGAGCTATAGCTGCGCAGGCGCAAGGGCAGCCAACCGGGAAAGTGGACGAGCTGGGTCCCGAGCTGTGTGGATAGGGTCGGGGGCGGAGAGTATGTTAACCAATGACCTGAAGGAGTAGGGAGGGCGGGATTAGGCCCGCAGTTGCTAAGCGCTACCCTAGTGGGAGGTGATTTGAGAAATGGGGTGAAGAGGGGTGGGTCGGGGAGCGGCTCAATGGCCCTTCACGTCACTGTCCTCTGGCCCGCGGAAGTTAAGCAGCCGAGAGGCGGGCTTAGGGCCGGAAGCAGGAAGGAGGGCGCAGGAAGCAGGGCTCCGCAACCACTCGCACTGTCGGTCAGTGGGTTTGTCGGTCTCGAGGGCAGGATGGAGAAGCTGCGGCTCTTGGGCCTCCGCTACCAGGAGTACGTGACTCGTCACCCGGCTGCCACGGCCCAGCTGGAGACGGCAGTGCGGGGCCTCAGTTACCTGCTGGCAGGTGCCACCCAGAACTTTGACCCATCCCTTCAGGGCCCTGACCTCTGACCCCACTTGCCCCCTTTCCTGCGGAGTCAGGGTAGTGATCGCTGTGCTTGAGACGTTCCTTCCAGGTTCCCTTAGGGCGCAGGGAGGGGACATCCAGGGACCCGAAGCTGCAGGTTGAGGCAACGCTCACCGACGCCTCCTTCTGTGCCTTCTCCTCAGGTCGTTTCGCCGATTCGCACGAGCTGTCAGAGCTGGGTGAGCCGGGCTCGGGAGGGTGAAGGGCGGGAGAGTCCAGAAAGGCTTCCCAGAGGGGTGACCACCCCAGCTCGCAGTCCTAGGGTTCCTGTTAGATCAGCCCTGTGCTGTGTCTGAATGGGACAAAGGTCCAGCGTCCACTGCCCTGGGCCCTCTATGTCCCTGTAGTTGAGAAACAAATCTGGAGACCTTGACTGGTCAGCCTGCTGGGTCAAGCGCCTTCCCTGCCTTTGCCCAGTTAATTCTCCCTACAGTCATATAAGGTGGGTACTGTTGTCCTCGGTGTCTAGCTCAGTGAGGTTAGGAAATAGCTACTGGTGATCCTTGAACCACGATTCAAATCCACATCTCCCAGGTTCCAGGATCCCCATCCTGTAACTGCCTCTGTAGTGTTTGCCCAGTGAGTACTGGAGGACCAGCTGGGTGTGGAAAGGTGGAAATGGACTAGACTTTCAGGGACAGGATGCAGAGAGAGCAGAGACCAGGAGGTGAGACCACACATCTGTGGCTATTTGGAGCACCATGGACGGTTCTGGGCAGCCGGTTGGCCACTGCTGATTTAGCAGGGCAGTCGCTGGCGTGTCACTGAAGCCAAACCATCTTTTCTTGTTCGAGCCACCCACACGAGCTCCCGCTGGGACGTGTGGAGGTCTGAGGAAGTGTGTGGGGCTGGGGGCGGGGGGGGAGTTGGGTTGGTTTCCACATAGTCTGTGGGTGGCTGAGCACAGCAGGTGATAGGTGATCCGTGCAGCTCTGGGGAGAAGGTGAGGAGGTGGAGGCTGCAGAGCCAGCCTCTCAAGGCCACACTCTACCCCTCAGTGTACTCCGCCTCGAACCTGCTTGTGCTGCTCAATGACGGGATCCTACGGAAGGAGCTTCGGAAAAAGTTGCCCGTGGTGAGAATTCTGCCAGGAACTGAGGGCGGGACGCAGGGGGACTTGGGAACGAGATAGTAACAACCAGCCTGTGTGTGTAGCACATGTTATGGTCTCGCAGAGTACGAGACAAGCCTGCGTCCATCTGAGCCTCGAGTCATCTCCTTAGGCGAAATGTCACGGTGTCAGTGTCCCCATCTCTGATGAAGAGACTGAGTTTCAGAGCCGTGAAGTAGCCTGTGCCCGATGGAGAACTCAGGCCTACCTACTTGGAAAGGGGGGAAATCCACATCTACTGTCAGAGGAGTCCCCTAGGGGAAGGGCCTGCCTCAAGGGGGTGTCCCCTGACCGCTTGGCCTGGCGTTCTTGCAGTCGCTGACCCAGCAGAAGCTGCTGACATGGCTGAGCGTGCTGGAGTGCGTGGAGGTCTTCATGGAGATGGGGGCTGCCAAGGTGTGGGGCGAAGTGGGCCGCTGGCTCGTCATTGCCCTCATCCAGCTGGCCAAGTATGTCAGGACCGTGGCGGGCAGTCCCTGGGCGGGGGGTCACTGAGGCCAGCTATACAGATGGGGCTCAGCAGAGCACCCTGGCCCTCTGCCCGCTAGCCACCTTCCCGCCAGCCCTGCCGTACTTCCAATCCAGGGCAGTACTGCGAATGTTCCTGCTCATCTGGTTCAAGGCTGGCCTCCAGACCTCACCCCCCATTGTTCCGCTGGACAGAGAGACCCAAGCACAGCCCCCGGGTAAGCTGCTTGCCTGCTCTGGTGTGGAACGGAGCCGGGGACTCATTTGTGGATTTAGAGCTGACCAAATGAATATTGTCCGTTTATGGAGAGTATCTATCCCCGTCAACTCATTTGTTCTCAACACCCTGTATTTTACAGAGACGAAAGATTGGGTTGGGGGCCGCCGGGTGGCTCAGTTGGTTAGAGCATGAGCTCTGAGCAACAGGTTTGCCAGTTCACTTCCTGCATGGGATGGTGGCCTGCGCCCTCCACAGTTAAGATTGAAGGACAACAACTTGACTTGGAGCTGATGGGCCCTGGGAAAAACGCACTGCTCCCCGATAAAGTTAAAAAAAAAAAAGATTAGGTTGGAACAGAATTGGAACTTGAACTCAGGACTTTGAATGTCAGACTCTGCTTTTTTGTGTGTGGGCTGCACAAAGAAGGGACAGAGGATCAGCAAGAGACAGGTGTCCTGCCAACCTCATCTCTGGCTCTGATTCTGTATTCAGAACCCCATGCTCATCTGGCAGGACACCCAGTAGATCTGTCCCTTCAGGGCTTTGGGCCCATCACCTGTTGGCCTCTGAGCCTCACTCTCCTGGCCTTGAGTGGGGGCAGTTCTTTGTTTTTCCTCATGGTAATGTTGAAAGCCAAGGACTGAGGAAATAACAGCCCCTCTGGTGCTGTGGTCCCCATAAGGTGTGGTTGGGCCCTCCCTGCCTTGTTCAAGTCCCTTGGAAGCCTGGGTTCTTGACTTGCTCATTTGCCACAGGTGATGCTGACCTTCCCCAGGCCAAGAAGGGCTGCGGAATGCTGCCCACTGTGCCCAGGTTCCAGGTTGAGCCACAGCCCCTGCTGCAGTGTCCTTGACTCAGCTGTTGCCTTAGTATAAGCTCATCCATTTTCCCTTTAGCCCATGAACACTCACTGCACACAAATTCTTTGCAGGCTTTTCTGGAAACATGTCCATCTGACAGTATGACCTTCTGTCTGTCCCTGCTAGATGGTGACCACAGCCCTGGTAGCCAGGAGCAGTCATACGTGGGGAAGCGGTCAAACCGAGTGGTGCGAACTCTCCAGAACAGTAAGTGTAGGACGTAGCTGGACTGAGCACCTCATTGTTGAGGTCAGCGTAGGACTGAAGGCCTATCTTTCATCACTGCCTGCCCTCCCCCTACCTTGGCCTAGGCCTGGCTGCTCACCTGCTGCCCTTGTGTTCTAGCTCCATCCCTGCACTCGAGGCACTGGGGAGCCCCCCAGCAGCAGGAGAGACAGCAACAGCAGCACCAGGAGGAGCTGAGCGTCACCCCCACCCCTCTGGGGCTGCAGGAGACCATTGCAGAGTCCTTGTATATTGCCCGGCCCCTGCTGCACTGTATCCTTAGCATTGGGCTGCTGGCACTGCGGGAGGTCGGGATAGGCGGGAAGGGCAGGGCAGGCCCTGTCCTGGAGACATCCTTGACGCTTTGGCTGTCAGTGCTTAGCCTGGGCCTATGGGGTCAGCGGTCGTGGACACCCTGGCTCCTGTCTGGTGTTGTAGACGTGACCAGGTGAGCCTGGGCCTACCCGGGGGCTCCACTCCCTCCACCAGGCTTTGTGCTGCAGGCCTGGCCTTACCTGGACAAGCAGGGCCCCCTACTCCTCCTGTTGCTGGCCCTAATTGTGTCCCCTCCTCATCCCAGTCTGAGCCTCCTGAGTGACAGGAAAGGCCTGTCCCGGAGGGAGCGGCTAGAGCTGCGGCGCCGGACCATCCTGCTGCTCTACTACCTGCTGCGCTCCCCATTCTATGACCGCTTCTCGGAGTAAGGACCAGGCCCTCCAGCAAATGGCGAGGCCCACCCTCAGCGAAGGAGAGAGGAGGGAAGTGGGAAGTGGTGCCCCAACCCCTGTTCACACCTTCCCTTCCTCTTTCCTTTCCCATCCTGGGTTCACTGAGCACCTGCTATGTGCTGTCCCGGGGTGTGGCCACGCCATGTATCAGATGCCAGCCCAGACCTGCCCTCCGAGCTCTCGGGGCCATCAGCCCGTGCATGTAGGAGCTTAAGCAGTTGTTGGCAGGTGATGCACCAAGGGCCGGGCCACAAGGATGGTTGTGCGTGCAGGCTTTCCATGCCCTCCAGATGATTTGCACGTCTTCTGGTCAACTAGTTTGGATTATCCCCACTTCTCACCATAGGCACTTGAGGTTCAAAGAGGTTGGGCAGCTTAAACAAAGCCCCCCAAGCTAGCCAGTGGCAGAGCCAGATCCCACACCCATGTTCTCTCCTGACATGTCCCTGTCTTGCCCGGCCCCTACTCTGTCGCCTGTGAGGGTCCAGAGCTTCTATCCTCAGCCAGACACAGAGAGGCATGCTGGGGGTGAGTGGGGGGTGGCTCAGGGCCAAGTCTCCTGCCGGGTGACTGCCTGAGGTCAGACCAAGGTTTGAGGTGGATCCTTGTATAGCGACTGGGGCTGTGAGACAGACCTGGAGGCTCCCAGGACCACTCTGTCTAGGTTTTAACAAGTATACTGCTTAAAGACTGGAATATGAATTGGAATTATACGTCATATTATGGCCTGTTTTTTTCTGAGACAGTGGAAAGCAAGCTTATGTCATGTTTAATACCACCTCAGTGAAAAGAACTTTGCCTGGTAGCTCCTGCTTTTGGATAAGTTTGAAAGCTCATAAGGCACTAAAGCCAAATCCCATTCCATACTCTAGAGAGAACATTCCAGAGGCTTAAACAGATCATGTGACCTCCCCCCACAAATTGCTTACCCTTTACAGAGGAAACATAGTCCCAGTATCACATTGAAGTGAGGAATTTTGAGACAGTAATCGCAGAGGTAGCTTCCCAGGCTGCAAGTCTCCAATTTGACTTGCTCTCCTGCTGAACCTGACGGGCCTGGCACCCCCAGAGCAGTGGCCCAGACTAAGGGTCTAGAAACCCATCAGAGAAAGTCCTTGTTTCCCCAGAGGACAGGTACAGGGTGCTGAGGGGTTCCGGGGTACAGTCTGGGAAGGCAGTCTTCCCCTTTTCTTATTGTCAGAGACACATGATAGGCTCTGAGCCAGTCTCTGAGTTGCGAGCATCCCAGGCGGAGGGCAGGACCAGCGCCACACCCAGAGGTCTCATCCTTGTACTGGGGTCTGTCCTTGCTCCACAGTTTCTACCTTCTGGGAAGCACTGCCTTGTAGTCAGGTGGTCAGTGAAGGCTTTTTAGCACCCAGGACCCAGACCCCCACTCAGTCTGCTCCCTATTTATCTCTTCCTTGCAGGGCCAGGATTCTCTTCCTGCTCCAGCTGCTGGCAGACCATGTCCCGGGCGTTGGCCTGGTCACAAGTAAGCATGGGTTGGGGTGTGATTATTACTGAGTGTTGTGGATCTCGTGCGTGGCCCTGTTACCCTGTTTTCTCTTTGTCTCCTTGTAATTTGACTCTTGGCACATTTGGGAGAGGGAGCCCAGAGGTCGGGCTGGTTGGGCGACAGCTCCTAGACATGGGCCAGGCTGGCCTGTAGAGCCTCGGGTGGCTGGAAGGAGAGTGCCTGTGGTGGGAGGAGTGTTAGACCTCATCAGGCCATCAGCCTTTTCCCTGCCTCAGTGTCCTGGAGCGATACAAGACCGGAGTCTCTGGGTGGGCACTCTGGCGGGGATCAAGCCTGCGGGCTGTTTGGAGATCCCACCTCAGCTCAGAGCCACTGGGCTAGACTGTCAGCATCTTCAGCTAGACAAGCCATGTGGCTTCTCTGAGCCTGAGCATCCTTGTCTGTAAGTGGAGACAAGGTCGCTGCCGATGCTGCCTCCCTAGAGGTGAAGAGGTGGGAGAGTCGGGTTCGTGGCCATGCAGATGTGAGCAGCGGTAGCTGAGAAGGGCCCCAGGTAGAAAAGAGCCTGGCCTTCAGCCTTGAACTTGTTCCTCTCTCTTCTCACTGCAGGGCCGCTTATGGATTACTTACCCGCCTGGCAGAAAATTTATTTCTACAGTTGGGGCTGACAGACATCCTGGGGGCGGGGTGCAGCGAGGGGAGGGGTGGCATGCTCTGCTGCTGTGGGCAGGGTGGCTCAGCCCTTCAGTCCCCCGGGCTCCTCTACCCTAATAAAACTGACTGTGGCAGTGACCAAACCTGTGGCCTCTCTGTGCCCACCACCCAGGGCACCTGGCGTTCACACCCTGGCCAGGCTCTGCACACAGGCCTGGCCGCCACCGGAGCCGCTCTTAACACCCTCTCGACTTTGCACCCTCTGGTGATGGAGCCACTGCAGCCTCACCTCGTCACTGGGCCAAGAAGCCTCTGCTCGGACTGGGACCCAGGGTTCCTCAGCCACAGAAAGTAAGATTTAACCTCGAGCATGGAAAGCTGCTTGTCGGGGCAGCTGTGGGAGTAAACTGCCTCTCTCACCAGTCCCTGTTGACAAGGCTGAACCCAGGCAGTGGATGCCAGCTGCCTGTGTGCCTTCTGGCCAGGGCGTCTGTCCGCCCCTTCCCGCTGCAGGGCCCTGTTGCCAGCCTGTCTCTGAGGGAGCCGGTAAATGGTGGAGCCAGCTCAGTGCAGAGTGGCACCTCAAGCCGTGAACTAGCTGAGTGCAAGAGGCTTTTCTCCTTTGGGAAAAGAATGTCAGGCACCAGCCAGCACTGGCGTCGATGCTGGGAATGGGGTGGGGATGGAAGGAACGGGAGCCTGAGAAGCTCAGAGAAAGCTGGGTGCAGGTTCTGCCTGATCTTCCCCTTTCCTTACCTCTGCCCCTGCCCCCCCTTGCCCTGTGAGCAGACCACAGTTTCCTGTTGGAGTAGCCAGACGGTTGGCCCCTTAGGTTCTGAGAGGGCTTGGTCTGCACTGCTGTCTGCCGTGCCTCACCTCCTCCCAGACCCTCTGGGGTGGAATGCAAGCCCAGAGGGGCCCGTCTTTCCCTGACGGCTCTCCCCAGGTGACTCTGAGAAGCCTTGTGCAGGCCCTGGGCCTGGAGTAAAGCACTGAGCTGCGGTGGCCACAGCTCAAGGCCCATGACCTCCCACTGAGTCTTAACAAGCGTGGCTGGCCACTTGCTGTGTAGCAGGCCCTGTGCCTTTGCCTTGTGCTGTGCGCTCAAAAGTGAGTAAAGCACACTTATTATCCTCACGCTCTCACCGATCCGTGGAGATGTGTGTGTAAAGCGTGCAGTGCATCAGGTCACTGCAGCAGGTGGAAATGTATACGAAAAGTAGTCTAGACTTGGGGTGAGCGAGTGGGGTGCTTGCCTGCCCAGGCTGATGGCTGGGGACGGCGCACTGGTCAGAGAAGCCTCCTTTCAAGCAGGCCTTTAACTGGTGAAACTCCCATCAGTTTTTTCAGTGAGCAGACTGGGAGAGGGGACCCTGTGTGCAGA